TTCGTTCCCCTCAGACACACAGCCCACGAAGGCGGAGTCATCGGAGAACTTCTGCAGGTGACAGCTGTGTGTGTCGTGTGTGAAGTCTGAGGTGTAGATGGTGAAGAGAAACGGTGAGAGGGCAGTGCCCTGAGGGGCCCCAGTGCTGCAGACTACCACCTCAGACTCACAGCTGCGCAGCCGCACGTACTGTGGTCGGTCCGAGAGGTAGTCCATGCAGTGAGGCTACTGTCCACTCCCGCGTCCTCCATCTTCCCCCGCAGCAGTCCCGGTCTGATGGTGTTGAAAGCACTGGAGAAGTCGAAAAACATGACCCTCACAGCGCTCCCGGCAGGCTACAGGTGGGAGAGCGTCCGCTGCAGGAAGCAGATGACTGCGTCCTCTACTCCGATGTTGGGTCTGTAGGCGAACTGCAGCGGAGGGTGGGGCTGACCACGGAGCGGAGATGGGTGTTTTAGGAACCGGGATCACACAGGAGGTCTTCCACAGGGCAGGGACCTTCTCCAGGTCCTCAGCAGCCTGGGACTGATCCCGTCCGGTCCTGCGGATTTCCTCTGCTTCAGTCGCTGGAGCTGACTCTTCACCAGGTCCGGTGTGATGGAGAGGGGGAAGACTGGGATGTATTGTCAGAGGTGGGGGGCGGGGATGTGGGGGCAGGAGGGCCCAGGGCAGCCAAAGGCAGTGTCCACTGGGCGGTGTCCACTGGGCTGGGGACGTGTGAAGAGGTGGGGGCGGGAGTGGGGGCAGATGGAGAGGGGGGAGAATCAAACCGGTTGAAGAATTGGTTAAATTCATCTGCCCGGTGCTGGTCTCCATCCGCTGTCCCGCTGGCCCTTTGTCCACAGCCAGAGATGTTGGCCCTCCTGATCCTCCACTGGAGCTCGTGCTGGATCCTCTTCTGCTCCTCTTTGTCCCCTGAGATGAAAGCCCTTTTCTTGAGGTTCAGGAGGGCTTTAAGCTCAGAGGTCATCCATGGGTGGTTGTTAGAAAAACACCGTACCTTCTTAGTTGGTACAGTGTTATCCACACAGAAGAGGATATAGTCTGTAATACAGTGTGTCAGGCCAATATCATTATTCCTACTGTGAAGGGGAAACAGTAGGAATAATGATATTGTGAAGGGGAAACGGGGCGACAGTAGCTCAGTTGGTAGAGCATTGGCCTTTGGGCCTGGAGGTTGTGAGTTCGATTCCCACCATGGGACCTACTCCAACTACTCCCACTGATGACTGCTGCCGTTGTGTCCTTGGGCAAGACACTTAACCCCACATTGCCTGAAGCCCCCTGCTGAAAGATCAAGGCTGTTTCACCGCTGACGGAGCATCCATCTTCCTGTGGACTCACCCCCTGCAGAAGATCAGTGAGGGACTGGTGCTATGAGCGTTGGGTGGCAGCTCTCATTGCCACCCCCCCGACCCAGAAATGGACAAAGGGGTTGAAAATGAAATGAAATGAAGGGGAAACATTTTTTACCCCAAATTCTTGCCTGTAGTAGCTAGCTATCATTGAATGGGAGCTACTACACCCATCAAATCTGGGAAAAAAGTCTTTGTTGATTTTTAGTAAATTTTTCCAATTTCATTTTCGTTACTGTGAAGGGGAAAACAATATTTTCCCCAAAAGTTTGGATGTAGTAGCTAGCTATCATTGAATGGGAGCTACTACACCCATCAAATCTGGGAAAAAAAGTCTTTGTTGATTTTTAGTGATTTTTTCCAATTTCATTTTCGTTGCTGTGAAGGGGAAAACCATATTTTTCCCAAAAGTTTGGCTGTAGTAGCTAGCTATTGTTCAAATGGAGCTACTACACCCATCAAAACTGGGGAAAACGTCTTTGTTAATTTTTAGTAAATTTTTCCAATTTCATTTTTGTTACTGTGAAGGGGAAAACCATATTTTTCCCAAATTCTTGCCTGTAGTAGCTAGCTATTGTTCAAATGGAGCTACTACACCCATCAAATCTGGGAAAAAAGTCTTTGTTGATTTTTAGTGAATTTTTCCAATTTCATTTTCATTACTGTGAAGGGGAAAACAATATTTTTCCCAAAAGTTTGGCTGTAGTAGCTAGCTATCATTGAATGGGAGCTACTACACCCATCAAATCTGGGAAAAAAGTCTTTGTTGATTTTTAGTGAATTTTTCCAATTTCATTTTCGTTGCTGTGAAGGGGAAACCCATATTTTTCCCAAAAGTTTGGCTGTAGTAGCTAGCTATTGTTCAAATGGAGCTACTACACCCATCAAAACTGGGGAGAACGTCTTTGTTGATTTTTAGTAAATTTTTCCAATTTCATTTTCGTTAATGTGAAGGGGAAAACCATATTTTTCCCAAATTCTTGCCTGTAGTAGCTAGCTATTGTTCAAATGGAGCTACTACACCCATCAAATCTGGGAAAAAAGTCTTTGTTGATTTTTAGTGAATTTTTCCAATTTCATTTTCGTTACTGTGAAGGGGAAAACAATATTTTCCCCAAAAGTTTGGATGTAGTAGCTAGCTATCATTGAATGGGAGCTACTACACCCATCAAATCTGGGAAAAAAGTCTTTGTTGATTTTTAGTAAATTTTTCCAATTTCATTTTTGTTACTGTGAAGGGGAAAACCATATTTTTCCCAAATTCTTGCCTGTAGTAGCTAGCTATTGTTCAAATGGAGCTACAGTACTACACCCATCAAATCTGGGAAAAAAGTCTTTGTTGATTTTTAGTGAATTTTTCCAATTTCATTTTCAATACTGTGAAGGGGAAAACAATATTTTTCCCAAAAGTTTGGCTGTAGTAGCTAGCTATCATTGAATGGGAGCTACTACACCCATCAAATCTGGGAAAAAAGTCTTTGTTGATTTTTAGTGAATTTTTCCAATTTCATTTTCGTTGCTGTGAAGGGGAAAACCATATTTTTCCCAAAAGTTTGGCTGTAGTAGCTAGCTATCATTGAATGGGAGCTACTACACCCATCAAATCTGGGGAGAACGTCTTTGTTGATTTTTAGTAAATTTTTCCAATTTCATTTTCGTTAATGTGAAGGGGAAAACCATATTTTTCCCAAATTCTTGCCTGTAGTAGCTAGCTATTGTTCAAATGGAGCTACTACACCCATCAAATCTGGGAAAAAAGTCTTTGTTGATTTTTAGTGAATTTTTCCAATTTCATTTTCGTTACTGTGAAGGGGAAAAGAATATTTTCCCCAAAAGTTTGGATGTAGTAGCTAGCTATCATTGAATGGGAGCTACTACACCCATCAAATCTGGGAAAAAAGTCTTTGTTGATTTTTAGTGAATTTTTCCAATTTCATTTTCGTTGCTGTGAAGGGGAAAACAATATTTTTCCCAAAAGTTTGGCTGTAGTAGCTAGCTATCATTGAATGGGAGCTACTACACCCATCAAATCTGGGAAAAAAGTCTTTGTTGATTTTTAGTGAATTTTTCCAATTTCATTTTCGTTACTGTGAAGGGGAAAACAATATTTTTCCCAAATTCTTGCCTGTAGTAACTAGCTATTGTTCAAATGGAGCTACTACACCCATCATAACTGGGAAAAAAGTCTTAGTTGATTTTTAGTAAATTTTTCCAATTTCATTTTTGTTGCTGTGAAGGGGAAAACCATATTTTTCCCAAAAGTTTGGCTGTAGTAGCTAGCTATCATTAAATGGGAGCTACTATACCCATTAAATCTGGGAAAAAAGTCTTTGTTCATTTTTAGTTAATTTTTCCAATTTCATTTTTGTTGCTGTGAAGGGGAAAACAATATTTTTCCCAAAATTTTGCCTGTAGTAGCTAGTTATCATTAAATGGGAGCTACTACACCCATCATAACTGGGAAAAATATCTTTGTTGATTTTTAGTCTTTATTAGTCGTTTTGACCTCTTGCAATTTGCAGACGGTCCCTTGCGAATATCAGGGAATATTCGTCGAAAACGTTCGGCCAACTTCACCTCGGTCTCCCGGTGAGATTCGAACCCCGGTCCCCCAGGTCCCAGCCCTGATTCCCGATCACAACCCTCTCCATCACTGACTACATTAATCACCAAGACAAACACACAGTTTGAGCGGATCTTCTGCAGTACTTCCATGGATCTATTATATTAACTGGATAGGGTATTACTAGCTTGTAGCTGAATAACTCATGTGCTCAGGGGATTCTCGCGGTACTGCAGACTGAACCAGACTGAACCAGACTAAATTCACGTGGGCTACCCAGAAATGTTCCCCATAGAACTCAATGCATATTAAAACAGCTCGACCTCAGCTGACAGAGAACCTACAGCTTTAATAAAGATTGGATTTTGTGGGGATTTTAGTGTCCCTTGTCATCCTGAACTTTTTTTCTTCTTAAATCTTTCGGTTTTGTTTAAATCCACACTTTAGTGCCACAAACTCTGCTCCTCTGGCTCTCGCTCTAACTCCCGCTCTGATGAACTGCTCTGATTGGTCAGAGCGCGGCCGAGCCCCTCTGTGCACGTGCGTGAGACCCGGTGTGAGACCCTCACACGTGTGTTTGACGCAAAGCATTATGGGAGATCATCCACTGCGCAGAACCGGGAGGACCAGACGATGCCCAAATACAGGCGACTTTCCCATAGATCTTTGCGAGTTTCAGGCAACTTCCGCTAATCTTTCAGCCCCCATGCCGTCACAAAGCGCCACTGAGCACAACCATTCATTTGAATAGGGCGCCATCTTGGATCGCCGGGGCTTGAGTACTTCATGAATCGCTCCATTTCCTGTGCTCCCGAGGCTTCAAACGTCATTAGTGACGTCACTCATCTAAAACAAGGCTTCGGCCCGCGCTCCGATAAAAACTTCAGGGATTTCTCGGCTCACGCCCCGAAGCGGCACGACTCATCACTAGTAATTTATCAGAGGAATACCGAACAGAACCGAGTCAAGTTTGTCACTGATTCTAGTCCAAGCCATTTGCAACAAATGAAATAGAATAAGGTTAGAGAGTGTGTTGTGTTAGCTCTGTTAGCTCTGGTGCTGAAGCTAAAGCCGTGTGTAAAATGTCTAAAGCCCACACACTGAGAGCTCTGATGACGGCGCGTCTGGCTGCGGCCACTGAGGAGGTTCTGGTTCTGTTTGAAAGAACTATACAGGAATATGAGGAGGAACTGAGACTCTCCAAAGAGGAGACCCACCGGACACGGGCGGTGCTGAACTCTCTGCTCTACCCCAGGGTCAGGCTGCACCAGGCGGCTGCAGAGGAGAGTCCTGAGCCCGCTCTGAACCATGGACCGAACCATGGACCGGACCATGGACCGAACAATGGACCGAACAATGGACTGAAACGGGAGATCCCAAATTCACGGATCAAAGAAGAGCCAAAGGAACAGGCCGTGAAACAGGAGCAGGACCAGCTGCCAGAGTAAGACCACACTTTATACAGTTCTAACATCTAAATGATGAGTTCTAACTCATCATTCAACAATGTGCACACAAGCCAGTACTTTTCCACTGCATGTTTTGATCTCTGAAGGCCAAGCTACATGACATCGCGGCGAAAGCTGATTGGACGGTGTTCATTCGTCCATGCTGTATTTTAAGAGATCCTGGAGTAAGATCCTTGTTCGTGCTTTCTTTACCAACGACAATAAAACATGTCTTCAGTCTGAATTAAAGACTGGATCCCAGACTTTGTCATCTTCTTCAGTACAACCCTAAATTACTACAGTATTTATCTCAAAGGACATTACAAACATCACAGATCAGAGAATCCAGAGTCCAAACACAGGAAATGCAATGATAACAAACCATAGGAGCGATTGCTCCAAAAATATGTTCCATGTTCATAAATGTCCTGGATCATCCCCACCGTCCTCAGACCCTCCTGCATCAGCGAAGGAACAACTCAACCCGGGACTGAGGCTGTAGATCCAGGACTGAGGCAGTAGACCTAGGACTGAGGCTGTAGATCTAGAACTGAGGCTGGAGACCCAGGACTGAGGCTGTAGATCCAGGGCTAAGGCTGTAGACCTAGGACTGAGGCTGTAGACCTAGGACTGAGGCTGGAGACCTAGGACTGAGGCTGGAGACCTAGGACTGAGGCTGGAGACCTAGGACTGAGGCTGGAGACCTAGGACTGAGGCTGGAGACCTAGGACTGAGGCTGGAGACCTAGGACTGAGGCTGGAGACCTAGGACTGAGGCTGGAGACCTAGGACTGAGGCTGGAGACCTAGGACTGAGGCTGGAGACCTAGGACTGAGGCTGGAGACCTAGGACTCGGACTGAGGCTGTAGATCCAGGACTGAGGCTGTAGACCTAGGACTGAGGCTGTAGACCTAGGACTGAGGCTGGAGACCTAGGACTGAGGCTGGAGACCTAGGACTGAGGCTGGAGACCTAGGACTGAGGCTGGAGACCTAGGACTGAGGCTGGAGACCTAGGACTGAGGCTGGAGACCTAGGACTGAGGCTGGAGACCTAGGACTGAGGCTGGAGACCTAGGACTGAGGCTGGAGACCTAGGACTGAGGCTGTAGATCCAGGGCTAAGGCTGTAGACCTAGGACTGAGGCTGTAGACCTAGGACTGAGGCTGTAGACCTAGGACTGAGGCTGGAGACCCAGGACTGAGGCTGGAGACCCAGGACTGAGGCTGGAGACCCAGGACTGAGGCTGTAGATCCAGGGCTGAGGCTGTAGACCTAGGACTGAGGCTGTAGACCTAGGACTGAGGCTGTAGACCTAGGACTGAGGCTGTAGACCTAGGACTGAGGCTGTAGACCTAGGACTGAGGCTGGAGACCTAGGACTGAGGCTGGAGACCTAGGACTGAGGCTGGAGACCTAGGACTGAGGCTGGAGACCTAGGACTGAGGCTGGAGACCTAGGACTGAGGCTGGAGACCTAGGACTGAGGCTGGAGACCTAGGACTGAGGCTGGAGACCTAGGACTGAGGCTGGAGACCTAGGACTGAGGCTGGAGACCTAGGACTGAGGCTGGAGACCTAGGACTGAGGCTGGAGACCTAGGACTGAGGCTGGAGACCTAGGACTGAGGCTGGAGACCTAGGACTGAGGCTGGAGACCTAGGACTGAGGCTGGAGACCTAGGACTGAGGCTGGAGACCCAGGGCTGAGGCTGTAGACCTAGGCCTGAGGCTGTAGACCTAGGACTGAGGCTGTAGACCTAGGACTGAGGCTGGAGACCCAGGACTGAGGCTGGAGACCCAGGACTGAGGCTGGAGACCCAGGACTGAGGCTGGAGACCCAGGACTGAGGCTGTAGACCCAGGACTGAGGCTGTAGACCCAGGACTGAGGCTGGAGACCCAGGACTGAGGCTGGAGACCTAGGACTGAGGCTGGAGACCTAGGACTGAGGCTGGCCTTAAAAGTAGAGACTGTGCCTTCTTCCGTAACGTGGATGAGAAGCTGATTCCACAGGAGCTTGGAGCAAAAACGCTCTGCCTCCGACTGCACTTTTTGACTCTTTAGGAAGCAGCAGAAGTCGGGCGTTTGAGTTTGGTTGATATGATACTAACGTGTCACGAGTTAAACCGTGTTGTTTTGTTTTTTTTAAACTGTTGATAATGCTAAAATCAGAAGGTCCAGGTTGTATTATGATGGCCTCTCATGAAGACATGGTATGTAACTGCCACACACTCGCAGTTCCCAGGTCGACCCAGGAACTTCATGGTTTTCCTATGACTGAGTGAGTTTCCTCCAGGTGCTCCGGTTTCCCCTTCCACCCAATACCATGCACAATAAAAGTGTACGGAGGTGTGACATTAAAGAGGCAGAAGTATAAAGTGACAGTCAGCACCAGTCCACTCCCCTGTCCTCTGTATGTGTCTCAGGAGATAATAATAATAATCATAGTAATAATAATAATAATAATGATTATTAATTATTATTATTATTATTATTGTGTGTTGTTCCTTTCAGACCTGTCCCAGAGCTGACTGTGAGGACACGGAAGAGACGTCGATACAAACTGAGCCAGAAACTCAGGACGTCTGGAGACACTGAGAACTCTTCTGACACTGATCCTGACAAGGTCCAGACCCAGACACACACTGCACCAGACACACACTGCACCACACACACACACACACTGCAACACACACACACTGCACCAGACACACACACACTGCATCAGACACACACTGCACCACACACACGCACACTGCACCACACACACACACTGCACACATTTGTCGACACTTTCTCTAACTGTAGATTGATGAACATCCACACAGGCTCCTCTGGGCTCTCTGCTCTACCCCAGGGTCAGGCTGCTCCAGGTGGCTGCAGAGGCCAGTCCTGAGCCCGGTCTGAACCATGGACCGAACCACGGACCGAACCATGGACCGAACCACGGACCGAGCCATGGACCGAACCACGGACCGAGCCATGGACCGAACCACGGACCGAGCCACGGACCGAGCCACGGACCGAGCCATGGACCGAGCCATGGACCGAACCATGGACCGAACCATGGACCGAACCATGGACCGAACCCAAAGATCCCAGAACCTTCACGGATCAAAGAGGAACAGGCCGTGACGCAGGAGCAGCTGCCAGAGTAAGATCCCTCTTTATAAACCAGGGTTATAGGAGCCAAATATGTTTTTTTCTTTGTGTTAACATTCATTGACACAAATGCACAATCACCTGATGTTCTTTAGCTGCTTTATGGACTGAGGTACAAAAGAGTTCTTAAACCTGTTGCTTTTGCACAGTGGGGTCCTGTCCCTCCTCCCAGAATGCAGCAGTGCGTATTGTGAGTCCAGATCAGATTATGTTTTATTCTGATGGCCCCTCATGAAGACAGAGTTATGGTCTTGGACTTTGTCGGCACGTGTCTGCGACCCACTCACAGGACGTGGGTTCGCTTCCAGGGTCGACCTCTGCGTTTCATGTTTTTCCTGCGCCTGGGTCAGTTTCCTCCAGGTGCTCCGGTTTGTCCTACCACCCAATAACGTAGTGAAAATCCTCCAGCTCCTGGGGATGGGTCCCTGGGCGCTGCGCTGCTCCAGACAGAATATGAGAATTATCGTTTGTATTGTTGTCAAAAAAGATTTGACTGACAGGGTCCAAAGTTTGATACAGAAGTGAGACCAAGAATTCAAGAGTTAAGAATAGAACATTTATATCTCTTTACAATTAAATATTGATACAAAACTCTTGGAGCTATAATTCCCTAAATCTATCCCTGTGCAGACTGCTCACAAAAAATGTCCTCTCAACCCTTTTATCAGAATGTCCGATGACGTCATATGGTCTGAGGCTGGTCTCTGGTCTGGACTTTGGTCTTGGTTTTCTTCCATATTAGGTTTAGCAAACAGCCCCCCCCCCCATCCATCCGAGGCCCCTTCCTGTGTGGGACTAAGTAAACACAACTGCCTGCTTTATGGCTCCCCGTCCTTCACTCCAGAGCCCAGGAAAAAGTCAATGATATCTAAGGCTGGGGGAGCTCTGCATTCCTCACATGGTCTGGCCTCGACTAGACCCCACTAATATGAAATCACTGAAAATATAAACGACGTGTGCAGCATTTCTTGAGATGATGCATCAGTATTTATTCATAGACCTGTCAAGAGGCTGCATCTGAAATACTGGGTAAACCAGAATAATATATTATTTTGTTTCACTTTTGCTTCAGTTTCTTTGTTATCATCCGGGTGTTGGACGATCCATAAAGTGGAGAGGCTTTGTGTCCTGCTTCAGTTGGAACAGACTAATAATCACAGCCCAAAGGATCAGTTTCAGACTCACATTCTCACCAGATCATGAGGATGACTAGAACAGGAACTTACAAACTAGGAAACGTCTTTGGCTCTCGGTGCAAACAAGTTAAAGCAGAATAAAATCAAAAAGGCATAAATAAATCTTTTCAACACATAAGGGAGGACCGGGAGACGCTCCCTGCCCTGACGGGAGCAAATGTGTTTTTCTCCTGTGTCTGTGGCTCCTCTCTTAATCTTTCACATTCCATTGGCCAAGGCCGAAGTTGATAACGGGACTCCCCCCGCCCCTCTCCTCCTCTCCTCCTCCCTTCTCCCCTCTCCTCCTCCTCAATTCTCCCCTCTCACTCCTCCATGTCTTTCCTGGCTCATCCCCCCTGACCCAGCCCCCTCTGACAGCCCACCAGGGCTGTGGCATGCTCTGCCAAAGCAATTTCCAAGTGGTGACTTTTATTACTTACGTGGCAATAAAAATGATTCTGATAAAAAATCAACATACATTTCTTCAGTTTACTAAATACAAGTGCACTAAGTGCACTCAATATACTCTAAGAGTACAGTAGAGTGCAGTAGAGTGCAGTAAAGTGATATGTCCATGTGCAGGTGAGAGGGGAGACGTTGGAATAGTCCATGTGCAGGTGAGAGGGGAGACGTTGGAATAGTCCATGTGCAGGTGAGAGGGGAGACGTTGGAATAGTCCATGTGCAGGTGAGAGGGGAGACGTTGGAATAGTCCATGTGCAGGTGAGAGGGGAGACGTTGGAATAGTCCATGTGCAGGTGAGAGGGGAGAGGTTGGAATAGTCCATGTGCAGGTTAGAGGGGAGAGGTTAGAACAGTCCATGTGCAGGTGAGAGGGGAGAGGTTGGAACAGTCCATGTGCAGGTGAGAGGGGAGAGGTTGGAATAGTCCATGTTCAGGTGAGAGGGGAGAGGTTGGAATAGTCCATGTGCAGGTTAGAGGGGAGAGGTTAGAACAGTCCATGTGCAGGTGAGAGGGGAGAGGTTGGAACAGTCCATGTGCAGGTGAGAGGGGAGAGGTTGGAACAGTCCATGTGCAGGTGAGAGGGGAGAGGTTGGAACAGTCCATGTGCAGGTGAGAGGGGAGAGGTTGGAACAGTCCATGTGCAGGTGAGAGGGGAGAGGTTGGAATAGTCCATGTGCAGGCGAGAGGGGAGAGGTTGGAATAGTCCATGTGCAGGTGAGAGGGGAGAGGTTGGAATAGTCCATGTGCAGGTGAGAGGGGAGAGGTTGGAATAGTCCATGTGCAGGTGAGAGGGGTTGGCAGAGATACGACCAGCCCGGCTTGAGCTCGGGCGACGTACAGGTCCTGCAGCGATGGGAGGCTGCGTCCGATCACTTCCTCTGCAGAGCGCACAATGTGGAGAAGTCCACAGTCCACTCCCCTGTCTCCTGTGTCTCCTGTGTCTCCTGTGTCTCAGTGATGATGATGGTGATGGTGATGGTGATGGTGATGGTGATGATGGTGATGATGATGATGATGATGATGATGTGTTCTTCCTCTTCCTCAGGCCAGAGCTGACTGTGAGGACACGGAAGAGACTCAGGACGTCAGGAGACACTGAGAACTCTTCTGACACTGATCCTGAGGACGACAAGGTCCAGACACACACACACACACTGCACCAGACACACACACTGCACCAGACACACACACTGCACCAGACACACACACTGCACCAGACACACACACTGCACCACACACACACACTGCACCAGACACACACACTGCACCAGACACACACACTGCACCACACACACACACACTGCTCCACACACACACACACTGCACCACACACACACACTGCACCACACACACACTGCACCAGACGCACACACTGCACCACACACACACACTGCACCAGACACACACACACACTGCACCAGACACACACACACACACACTGCACCACACACACACACACACTGCACCAGACACACACACACACTGCACCAGACACACACACACTGCACCACACACACACACTGCACCACACACACACACACTGCACCACACACACACACACTGCACCACACACACACACACTGCACCACACACACACACTGCACCACACACACACTGCACCAGACGCACACACTGCACCACACACACACTGCACCAGACACACACACACACTGCACCAGACACACACACACACTGCACCAGACACACACACACTGCACCACACACACACACACTGCACCACACACACACACACTGCACCACACACACACACACTGCACCACACACACACACAGCACCACACACACACACACTGCACCACACACACACACACACTGCACCACACACACACTGCACCAGACGCACACACTGCACCACACGCACACACTGCACCACACACACACACTGCACCAGACACACACACACTGCACCACACACACACACTGCACCACACGCACACACACACTGCACCACACGCACGCACCAGACACACACACTGCACCAGACACACGCACCAGACACACACACACACTGCACCAGACACACACACACACTGCACCACACACACACACTGCACTACACGCACACACTGCACCACACGCACACACACTGCACCAGACACACACACACACTGCACCAGACACACACACACTGCACCACACACACACACTGCACCACACGCACACACACACTGCACCACACGCACGCACCAGACACACACACTGCACCAGACACACGCACCAGACACACACACACACTGCACCAGACACACACACACACTGCACCACACACACACACTGCACCACACGCACACACTGCACCACACGCACACACTGCACCACACGCACACACACACTGCACCAGACACACACACACACTGCACCAGACACACACACACACTGCACCAGACACACACACACACTGCACCAGACACACACACACACTGCACCAGACACACACACACACTGCACCAGACACACACACACACTGCACCAGACACACACACACACTGCACCAGACACACACACACACTGCACCAGACACACACACACACACTGCACCACACACACACACACACACTGCACCACACACACACACACACACGCACCACACACACACACACACACACACTGCACCACACACACACACTGCACCACACACACACTGCACCAGACGCACACACTGCACCACACGCACACACTGCACCACACACACACACACTGCACCAGACACACACACACTGCACCACACGCACACACACACTGCACCACACGCACGCACCAGACACACACACACACTGCACCAGACACACACACACACTGCACCAGACACACACACACACACTGCACCAGACACACACACACACTGCACCAGACACACACACACACTGCACCACACGCACACACTGCACCACACGCACACACACACTGCACCACACACACACACTGCACCACACACACACACACTGCACCACACACACACACAAACCCACTGCACGACACACACACACACACTGCACGACACACACACACACACTGCACCACACACACACTGCACCAGACACACACACTGCACCACACACACACACACTGCACGACACACACACACACACACACTGCACGACACACACACACACACTGCACCACACACACACACACTGCACCACACACACACACACTGCACCACACACACACACACTGCACCACACACACACACACTGCACGACACACACACACACTGCACGACACACACACACACTGCACCACACACACACACACACACACTGCACCACACACACACACTGCACCACACGCACACACACACACACTGCACGACACACACACACACTGCACCACACACACACACACACTGCACCACACACACACACTGCACCACACACACACACACACACACACACTGCACCACACACACACACACACACTGCACCACACACACACTGCACCAGACGCACACACTGCACCACACGCACACACTGCACCACACACACACACACACTGCACCAGACACACACACACTGCACCAGACACACACACACTGCACCACACGCACACACACACTGCACCACACGCACGCACCAGACACACACACACACTGCACCAGACACACACACACACTGCACCAGACACACACACACACTGCACCAGACACACACACACACACTGCACCACACACACACACTGCACCACACGCACACACTGCACCACACGCACACACACACTGCACCACACACACACACTGCACCACACACACACACAAACCCACTGCACGACACACACACACACACACTGCACGACACACACACACACACTGCACCACACACACACACTGCACCAGACACACACACTGCACCACACACACACACACACACTGCACGACACACACACACACACACACTGCACGACACACACACACACACTGCACGACACACACACACACACTGCACGACACACACACACACACTGCACGACACACACACACACACACTGCACCACACACACACACTGCACCACACACACACACACACACTGCACGACACACACACACTGCACCACACACACACACACACTGCACCACACACACACACTGCACCACACACACACACACTGCACCACACACACACTGCACCACACACACACACACACACTGCACCACACACACACACTGCACCACACACACACACACACTGCACGACACACACACACACTGCACCACACACACACACACACACACACTGCACCACACACACACACACTGCACCACACGCACACACACACTGCACGACACACACACACACTGCACCACACACACACTGCACCACACACACACACACACATGCACCACACACACACTGCACCACACACACACACACACACTGCACCACACACACACACTGCACCACACACACACACACACTGCACGACACACACACACACTGCACCACACACACACACACACACACACTGCACCACACACACACACACACTGCACCACACACACACACACTGCACACAAAGGTTGTTGTTATGGTGGAATTTAGTCTTTGTGATTTATTAAAGTAATGAAACACAAACGTGATAATTGCATAAAAGTGAGACCAGGTCTGAGGAGGATGAAAAACTCTCCAGAGCGGGAAGGAAAGGAGCAGAGTTTGTGGCACTAAAGTGTGGATTTAAAGAAAACAGAAGGATTTAAGAAGAAAAAAAGTTCAGGATGACAAGGGACACTCAAATCCCCACAAAATCAGACTTTTATGAAAGCTATAGGTTCTCTGTCAGGTTCTCTGTCAGGTTCTCTGTCAGGTTCTCTGTCAGGTTCTTTGTCAGCTGAGGTCGAGCTGTTTTAGTTTACATTGAGATCGCTGGGACATGTTTCTGGGTAACGTGAATTTGTCTGCAGTACCACAGCGCCCCCTGTGGCCGTGGGTGGGACAGCTATAAGCTAGTAATACACTATCCAGTTATTATTATAGATCGATGGTTTTCCCAGACTGGGGAGAGGAGGGAGAGGAGGGAGAGGAGGGAGAGGAGGGAGAGGAGGGAGAGGAGGGAGAGGAGGGAGAGGAGGGAGAGGAGGGAGAGGAAGGGAGAGGAAGGGAGAGGAAGGGGGAGGAAGGGAGAGGAAGGGAGAGGAAGGGAGAGGAGAGGAAAGGAGAGGAAGGGAGAGGAAGGGAGAGGAAGGAGAGGTAGAAGAAGGGAGATACTGAGAGTCATGTTGTATGAGCCCATCCAAACAAACCTCAGGGACATGGAGCCAGTGGAGGTGAACACAGACTCTGAGTTTTAATGTTTTTCCCGTTTCTTTTGTTATTGATATAATGTATAGTAATTTTGCTCAAAACGGTCAGTGTTTGTTTTAATCTCAGTGACAACAGTTCTTTTTGTTGTTTTTGTGGTTGTGTTTCTTTGTTTCTCCTGCTGCGGTGTCATTTATCCGCTGATGTCACTTTCTGAGAGGGCGTGGTCAGACTGATTGACAGGCCGCTCAGACTGACCACGCCCCCTGTGGCCTCTGGAGGAGTGTGCGACAGGAGGAAGGCTCCCTGGTCCCGGTTGATGCTGTTGTGGCTGTGATTTCAATGGCCTCCTTATGTCATCGAGGCATTCTGTGGTAGACCTGAGAGATATTGGACTGTGCCGATGGGTTCTGCAGCAGATACTCGGGTTCTTTGTTTCGACTGTTCTGAGCTCGACTTGTGACATCATTGGACAAAAAGCAAAAGCACCAAACTGTCTCCGTTTGTCGACACTTTCTCTAACTGTAGATTGATGAACATCCACACAGGCTCCTCTGGGCTCTCTGCTCTACCCCAGGGTCAGGCTGCTCCAGGCGGCTGCAGAGGCCAGTCCTGAGCCCGGTCTGACACACGGATCGAACCACGGACCGAGCCATGGACCGAACCATGGACCGAACCATGGACCAAACCATGGACCGAACCATGGACCGAACCCGGAGATCCCAGAACCTTCACGGATCAGAGAGGAGCCAGAGGAACAGGCCGTGACGCAGGAGCAGGAGCAGCTGCCAGAGTAAGACCACTCTTTATGAACATTTTCACAGTGGAAAAAGACAAAGTTATTTTAACCATAATGGCTTCTCCCGGGTCAATCCAGGCTTTTCATTTTTTTCCCTGTGCCTGGGTCAGTTTCCTCCAGGCGCTCCGGTTTCTCTTACCACTCAATAACATGGTGAAAATCCTCCAGCTCCTGGAGATGGTCCCTGGGCGCTGCTCCTGCCAGAGGCACTCGGGCTGGATGGGTCAAATGCCTGTTTGGTCGTTCATATTGTTCCGTCTCTGGTTCTACTGATCTTTATCAAAATCAGACTGAGTTTATTGCTCCTAAGTTACAGGAAGTTATTATTATATGAGTAGGGTTGGGCATCGTTTGCAATTTTCCGATTCCGGTTCCGATTCTCACTATCGATTCCTGTTCTAAACGATTCTCGATTCCGATTCTTTGAGGTGCAGGAGAGAAAAAAAAAAGATAATTTTTTATCAAATTTTATTTTATAAGTACTGTTGTGGAATTACATACCTCAATAAAGGAAAAAGCTGGAAAGGTATTTGTCTTAAATCAAAGATGTAAACACATTTATTTTACACATATATATGCGGAGAGCCAACATACAGTGTTGCATCGTGAGCTCTGGCCGGGCACAGCTCCTGTACCAATACATATACTCAGGGCGCACAGCAGGGCCCCAAAACCGTGACGTCACATGGGCTGAGATTATCATGCAAACATCACCTTTTGTATTAGCGCAAGACACAGGGAAGGCCTTTGTCTTAGGTGTGAAAGGAGCAGCCAGCAGAGGTCTTGGCAAACTCAGCATGGCGTCAGACGGCCGTCTCTGCATTAATTAAAGGCCCAGTCGTCCGTGTATTTGCTGCGACTGGTTCTAATTTAATTACTCTAAAAACTGTCATTACACTCCCCTCTTTTGATAATTCAAAACCATTTTTGCATTAATCAGTTAAATACCAGAGGCATCGTAATCACATCACCTTCAAGCTTGAAACACTTAAATTATTGCTGTCCAAAGTGGACAAGAAAAGAAACATGTTTGTCAATAAAAGAAAGAGCACATTATAATAACACAATGGATCCGGACAGCGATAAGAGTGCGGACAGTGTGTCCAACATAATATGCCACGGGCCCATGCCGGTATTAGCCTGCTACGCGGGGGTTCTGTAGTCTTTTCCGCGGAAATGCTCACGAGCGTTCAGGGGCACCGCTCCCTCTGAGCGTGTGTGAAGCTTAGTGGTCATGGCGATGTTCGGTCTTGGAGCGGCAAGACCCTAATCGCGTTGGGGCTTTGGCCTCGGCACTTCGGGGTGTGACCTTGGGGTCCGGGGGCAAGGGAGATGGGACGTCGTGTTGTTCCTGGGGATGCGCCTCGGGAACGCTGGGATTCTCTGGGTGTTGTTGTTGTTGTGGGCCTGCTCCAGTGACGGAGTTCTCACGCCGGCCGGCCCCTTATGCTTAGGGAGCCGTGAATATGCCTGCTCCGTCCCGACCCTCGGTGTCCTCGTCTATGGCCCTCGGTGGCAGCGCTGCACGATAGTGGTTGGCGTGGATCCAAGCTGTCCTCTCTGCGATCTTTAGCGGCCGTGTCCGTCACCAGGAGGATGAGGATGGGATCCATGTTTCCGTCTTGTCTCCTTCACCAGGACCCAGTCGTATGGCTCGATCTCGTGCAGAGCCGCCTGCACCGCCTGTGGCAGGGCGCTCCTGACCTAGGCAGAAATAGATTACAGTAGTGCATTCATTTCTTTACAATAGGACAGCATGTCGTCATCACACAAAAGGTGCATGGCAGATCTCTAGGTCGGGGTCCCGCTCCCAAGTTGGGCGGTCTGGCAAAGAGGGTTTCGAATGGGTTTAGGTTTTGACCTCAGAGTGCCATTCTCTCGCTCGCAATGTTTCCTTATATCAATGCCCAGAAAGTGACCTACTTCCTCAATAATTTTGCTACAAAGTGACTGCCATTGTCACTAGAAATTATATATTATTATTATTATTATTTTTTTTTTTTTTCCTTTCCGGGACACCCCATTGTGGCACAATTTCTGTGAGCAGAGCTTTCACCACCGCGTTGCTCGTGGCGTGTTTACATGCAAATACTTCAGTCCATTTGGACCAGAGATCCACCAGAACCAGACAGTATTTCTTACCTTGGCATGGTGTGAGTTCAACAAAGTCCCTTTGGACATGTTGAAATGGGCGCAGGGTGTTGGATAATTTGGGACTTACCCGGGTTGTGCGCGAGGCAGATGGCGCATGTTTGGCAGAATCTCTGTGCAAATGCCGTAAACCCCTTCGTATACCAATTTTGTGTAATTAAGTTACACATCCCTCCTTTTGAGGCATGGTCTCGACTATGTGCTAAAATCGCAAAATGTCTGAAGAAATGCCGTGGTAAGCACGGTTTGAGGTCTGGTCCCAGCCACACACCATGCCGTCGTTGAGCCCCATTTCCCTCCCACAGCACCGTCTCTGCTGGAGTAGCCAGTGCCTGCATCGCTGACAGAGAGGAGAAAATATCAACGTCTTGAGTGAGGTAGTGTGTTTGTGTGGGCAGAGGTGAGTATGCCGCTGCCTTCGCTGCCTTGTCCGCGCGCCGATTCCCTGCAGAGATGGGGTCAGTGGCATTAGTGTGGGCCTGGCATTTGCATACAGCGATCTCTAAGGGCAACATTACAGCTTTCAGCAGATGTTCAACCTGTGTGGAATTAAGAATTGGTTTACCATCAGATTTCATGAAATTGCGGTGTTTCCACAGTGCCCCCCAGTCGTGCACCACAGAGAAACCATAACGCGTATCACAGAATATGTTAACAGTTTTGCCCGCTGCCAGCTCACAAGCCCTGGTGAGCGCGACCAGTTCAGCGGTTTGTGCTGAATGGTAGTGGGGCAAACAATATAAAAATCAGAACACACAACATAACAGACTCGGTTGTAAAATTGTCGACACTCGTATGTTCTCACACTTCCAGCAGCCGGTCTGTACCTGTGGAATCCTGCTCCAAAAGAAACAGCAACGGTTCGTTAGTTTCAAGTTATTCAAATGAAACAATGGTGTGTTATGTGTCAGTTTGTTAGTGGTTAGTTGTCATTAAATGCACTGCTCAGCCTGTTGAAAAAAGGAACAGCAAGAATCTATCCAGAATTTATCCAGCGGACACAGTTATCCTGTGTCCGCTGCGGGTCGTGTTTGTGGTCATCTGCCTGTAAATAAATGACCAGAAACGCACATCAAATATACACACACACACAACGATCAACTGGGACACACAATGACATCAACACAAACAAAAACGCTTGCGCAGTAAGTTGTCAGGTCAGGTCAGAAAGTCATTGTAAAAAAAAAAATGTTTGTTTCAGGCCATCAAATTTCATATCTTTTCATATCTTTCAGCCCAGAATTTGTTGAGCGCTCTTATTTTGAAAGCGTGATCGTCTTTCACCCATCCGTTCCACTAGTGGAGAAAAATAAGACACCACCGCAGTGCAAAAAGGAAAAATAAATAAATCAAAATGTCAAAAACCACAACCCCAAAACTACGTAAAAAGTAAATTCAAAAGCATTAAAACAATAAGGACCTGAGTGACCAACGTCATGCACTATTGTGATTGGCTTTTTGCCCCACAAGAGTGTGATAAAAATAAGTCCCATTTTGATTTCACCATGTTGATTGTTCATTCTTTGTTTAATTCAGTTTAGAAGATCAGCTTTGGCCAGCCAATTTAGAAAATAAAAAATTGTTTCAACCCTCTGATCATGTTGAATTTAGGTATGCATTTTGGCATCTGTCCATCAGATTATGAAACAGATCTCCGTTGGGATAAAATTGTAATGTACGGTTTCCTGCGGCCAGAGAACCATAAAAAAAATAAAAAGGGCTTCTCCATGCGTTTGCATTTCTGGAGAACCACGAGTGTCCATCTTGGACCTGTGTCCAGCCTCCAGCACTGCTACACTTATTAATACATGCAGGGACCTCCCTCCACGCTGCAGACGTGGGTTCGGAATTTTAACTTTTACACCACAGATTGTTAGACAAAACTGTGTGCAAAGTGGAGCACAGTGGGTCGATAAACACGTTAGGTAATACCGCGGAGTCGTGCCTATCCCAATAAACGTACTCCGTTAGCCTATCTTCACTACACTGAAGCCATGAGTTTTGTGAAGCGACCACTCATTTGAGAAAGGACCAAAATCTGTCACCTTATGTTTTGTTTTTAACACAGGATTTGTTGTCCCTGAATCATCCAGAATTTTAACTTTTACACCACAGATTGTTAGCGTATATTACGGGAATTTACGGGAATTCAGCATGAATTATCTCTAAAAAGTGCCAATTGCAATTTGTTCTTGTTCAAACTTACGTGACATGAGCGGTCGCTTTGGTGACGAATGTGAACCCGGGTTTGATCAGTCGCTCGTGTTTCCTCCACGCCCGCCTCTGCCGTCCTCTGGCCCCGTGTGAGCTTGAGCGGTCCTCTGCCTTTAACGCCTCCTCCGGTAACAGTCCTTCGACACATGTCGAGCACACAGTCTTTCCGCCGGGCTGTGGAAGTTTCTCAAAGTCCGCAGGAGGCCCAGGTAGCCCAAAGCGTTCAAATAATGTTAGCCTGTGGTCCATGAGGGTTGGTTAATAACCAAACGTGCCGGTCCCAATGGCTTCTTCTGTTTGCGGTGCGGGGGCAACTTTCAACGGGGTTTCAGCGGGTGCGTTTGGTGTTTCACGTTGCCGCCTCCGTGGGGCAACAGTCACGGGATTTGGAGCAGTTTGTCTCTGGCCTCCAAAGCAGTTGTCGGTGTCTCACATAATGTGTCCACGGAATGAGTCGTGAGCTTCGGTTTCCTGAGCGTGTATCTGCTTCCGCCGCTTCTTCTTCTGCTCCCGGGTTTGGGCCCACTTCTCGCGGGGTATCAGCTGGTGCGAGAGACTCTGTGAGTCGCCGCCGTGGTTGGGGCGTGGGGCTGGTGCTGGGGCTTTGAGGCGGAGGGCAGAGCGCGGAGGAAAGCGCCGACAGACCTGGACAGGGAGAGGAAAAGGGGACAACAGTAGTCTGCTCATTTTTTAAAAACCCAACGCCTTGTTTGGGTGCGCACTTATTGTTAGTAGGGGAGTTTGGGGAATATTTCTCGGGGCTGGTCGCCTTACGCGTTCGCCTGTGTGTTCTCCGCTTCGGTGAAAAGCGGAGGAGCTATTGTTTTTACATATTTCTTTCTCTAACGTCTTTTGCCGTGATATTCTTAAAACCAAGTAATATTTCCCTTCCTTCTTCTAATTTTCACGCAAGACGCGTAATCGATTGAAGGACATAAAAAAAACCTCCCTCCGGAAGATCCGAATGAGCAGCACATAATTTGCAACCGTTTTTCCATTGCCATTGTTACGGGACGTCTGAATCCCTTTCTAGTGTACTTCCCTCCATTTTCTCTTAAAGAACAAATGGATCTAGCCCGCTTAGTCTCTCCCTGCTCTTCCTCACTCTGGAGCGATCCGTTCCCCCCCCGTTAGTTCAATACACCTAACGGGCGCGCATTCTTGAAACGGACCGGGCCTGGCTGAAGGCACAAAGAGTTTCAGGGTTGCTTACAGAGCAATACTAACACGCAGCCGCTAGCTTAAATCTCATACCCTACACAAATGGCAATGAACAAAATACCCCAAAATACGTAAATAAATCAAATACCCGTGTACACTTAAGCGCTGCCCTGGGCTTTACATGTTTGAAAAGACAAAACTCACCACAAATCAGGTTCTTTTTGGTCTTGTGTGGCCAAAGATTCTTTTCATGCGCCGGACGAGCGCGCCCTCCTTTCGTCTCCAAATAGAGCGGAGGCTGGTTTTGTTCCAGGTCGGCCGAACGCACCGCTCGTCCCCGCCGAAAAAACCCAGGCCAAGACATGTCAGCAACGCCAAATTGTTGTGGAATTACATACCTCAATAAAGGAAAAAGCTGGAAAGGTATTTGTCTTAAATCAAAGATGTAAACACATTTATTTTACACATATATATGCGGAGAGCCAACATACAGTGTTGCATCGTGAGCTCTGCCCGGGCACAGCTCCTGTACCAATACATATACTCAGGAGGCGCACAGCAGGGCCCCAAAACCGTGACGTCACATGGGCTGAGATTATCATGCAAACATCACCTTTTGTTTTAGCGCAAGACACAGGGAAGGCCTTTGTCTTAGGTGTGAAAGGAGCAGCCAGCAGAGGTCTTGGCAAACTCAGCATGGCGTCAGACGGCCGTCTCTGCATTAATTAAAGGCCCAGTCGTCCGTGTATTTGCTGCGACTGGTTCTAATTTAATTACTCTAAAAACTGTCATTACAGTACTTTTCCTGCCATAAGGCAACAGAAAGTGCTTTACATAAAAACAAATTAAATTAAAAAACAAGGAACACGAATACACACACACACACACACAAGCGGTGTTTATGTGGCACCGCCCACCATCATCTCAGAGCGGCTGAAATGTAAACACGTCTCTGTAAACCGCTGAAAAACGGCTAAAGTGAGAATACTGGAGGATTATCGTTGGACGGACTGACAGATTTGACCAAAGCACAAGGACTAGTGCATCGTGTTTTCGGAGTTTTTTACGGATTATTACATGGAGGAGGAGCAGGACTTGTTGCGGTCCTCGGCAGGTGGACAGCGTGTTTCCCTTCTTCATCATTACAAAGGGCCTGACCAGTAACTTTAAGGTAAGGAACATCAGTTTTGGATGTGTTTGTAAAGCGAGTGATGAAACTGATGTAGCGTGAGTTTGGGGAAACTGCACCGGGCTAGCACGAGTGTTCAACCGGTCAATACGCCCGTTAAACCTCGCTGTCTGGACTCTAACTTAACCAAATAATATCTGAATTAGTCATTTGACGGATAAATGTTTGCTTCCTTTACCCCTTGACTCCGTTTTATCTGCGTTTGTGGAAATTGTGAAGATACAAGCGTTGAGAGGTTTCTTTGCGATGGCAGGAGTGTGTGGCTGAAGCTAAATGTGGCAAATACTGAGCAAACACGAGCGCGCCGTCTCATAAGAGCTTAATTCACTGAGTTTTTCACAAAGCATAATAAAGCCCTGGCTTTATTACGCTGGGTGGACAGCTGCTAAGCATTTTTGAAACGTGTCCCCCCACACCTTCCAAACGCCTCCGACGCCGCTGTGCGGGCCGCATCCGGCATTTAGGAATTGAAAAAAGAATCAAAATACAAACGTCTTCTTAACGGTTCCGGAACCGCACTTTAGGAACCGGTTCCAAATAGGAACCGGTTCTCGGTGCCCAACCCTATATATGAGTTAGTATCATGACTGAAAACTGTGTCAAAAGTATGATGTGTCACTATGGGCTGTGCGGCGCATCAGTGTGTGAGGATCCAGGCTTCTACCACGGGCACGTATCTGACCTTTTGAAGCTTTAGTTGCCTCCCCTGTCTTCTGTGTGTGTCTCAGGAGATAATAATAATAATGATAATGATTATTATTATTATTATTATTGTGTGTTGTTCCTTTCAGACCTGTCCCAGAGCTGACTGTGAGGACACGGAAGAGACGTCGATACAAACTGAGCCGGAAACTCAGGACGTCTGGAGACACTGAGAACTCTTCTGACACTGATCCTGACAAGGTCCAGACCCAGACACACACTGCACCAGACACACACTGCACCACACACACACACACACTGCAACACACACACACTGCACCAGACACACACTGCACCAGACACACACACACTGCACCAGACACACACTGCAACACACACACTGCACCAGACACACACACACTGCACCAGACACACACTGCAACACACACACTGCACCAGACACACACACACTGCACCAGACACACTGCACCAGACACACACACACTGCACCAGACACACACACACTGCACCACACACACACACACACTGCAACACACACACACACACTGCGCCACACACGCACACTGCACCACACACACACACTGCACACATTTGTCGACACTTTCTCTAACTGTAGATTGATGAACATCCACACAGGCTCCTCTGGGCTCTCTGCTCTACCCCAGGGTCAGGCTGCTCCAGGTGGCTACAGAGGCCAGTCCTGAGCCTGGTCTGAACCATGGACCGAACCATGGACCGAACCATGGACCGAACCATGGACCGAACCATGGACCGAACCATGGACCGAACCATGGACCGAACCCGGAGATCCCAGAACCTTCACGGATCAGAGAGGAGCCAGAGGAACAGGCCGTGACGCAGGAGCAGCTGCCAGAGTAAGATCACTCTTTATGAACATTTTCACAGTGGAAAAAGACTAGGGCTGCAATGATTGGTCGACGCTGTTGCAGCCCTAGTCTTTTTCCACTGTTAAACTATTCATCAAAAATCAATAATAGAAATAGTCGACAATGAATTTCATTGTCGACTATTGTCGCCAGACGTGTTTTTCCAACAGAGTGAGGCCTCCCCCGTCTCACAAACAATCTCTTCCGGGAGTCACACATGCGCAAGAGCGTCTATCGAGTGGAAACGTAAACAGTAATGGCGGCGTGCGTCAGTTCTGTGCAGAAAAACATCTAAAGTTTGGGAGAGTTGTAGTAGCATTGGATACGGCAAATAAAAGGTTTACTTGCAAGGTTTGCAAAGCAGACATTTCATATCACGGCAGCTCCTCAGTGATGCACCAACATTTGAAGAGAAAGCATGAGAGGGACGAAGATCCCGGAACTTCTGTGAAGTCTGTGAAAAACAGAGCGGCGAGCACACGGTCAAAGCGAAGCCATAATGGGACCAGCGCAGACAGGACCGGTGCGGATCTTTGTCCAACCTGTGGAGGCGATAAATACAGCGCTGTGAGAAGCTGAACCATGTGAGCCTCTGAAGTGTCCCCGTGTCTCCTCCTGTTGCCCAGAAACTACTCACTACATTAAAGCTGGGGTACCTACATTTCCCTTGCATTCATAATGCTCCTGGTAGTGCCCAAACGTAAGATAAATAACTAGTACAAAAAAACCACAAGAAGTCTTGTTTTTTATGTTGTTTTTTTTCATAATTAAGAGAGAACCAAGTTAGTCAATATTTTACTCTTTGGGCTGAGAGCGGATTTTTTTATCTCCAAAAGATGTAAAGAGAGCGCGCAGTGTTTCCCTCTGAAGGAGCCTGGCAAACAATAACTGAGAAGCACTGGTCTATACTGGCCAAGCTATGTGCCAAACTGTTTATCACTTACCACATAATTAAAGCAACATTATGCCAATTCTAAGACGAAAAAACAATATTCCGATTAGTCGACTAATCGTTTCAATAGTCGGTGACTAACGACTATTAAAATCTTCCTAAAAAAGACCAAGTTATTTTAACCATAATAGCTTCTCCTGAGGGGTCTCTTCCCGGGTCAATCCAGGCTTTTCATTTGTTTCCCTGTGCCTGGGTCAGTTTCCTCCAGGCGCTCCGGTTTCTCTTACCACCCAATAACATGGTGAAAATCCTCCAGCTCCTGGAGACGGGTCAAATGCAGAAGACAAATCCACTGAAACTGCACAACAAGATTTAGTTCAAAGCCTTTGTGTCGGACTGCACAGAAACATGTCACGCTTCACTTCTGCTTTAGTTTCTTTATGCATGTGCTCAGCTCTGTAGCCGGTGATTGGTCGTTCATATTGTTCAGTCTCTGGTTCTACTGATCTTAATCAGAATGATTTTTATTGCTCTTAAGTTACAGGAAGTCACATTCTAATCAATCCTCATTTCCTCATTTCCTGCATGTAACGTCTGGGTCTGGTCCCTGTGTTTGCGATTACAATCGGTTGACGTCCATCCGACCAATCAGAGAGCGCGGGAGGCGCGTGTTGTAGGCGCGTTGAACGGGCAGGTTGTAGTTTGGCGAAGAATGTGATAGTAAAGTAATCCGTTCTGGTTCTATCAAGAAATTGAAGCCGGAGCAAGAGGAAAGTTTAGCAAATGTAATCGCTGCAAAGATTGATGCACTACTCCCCACGGGCTCCGTTAGCGACAAAGGAGATGGCTAAAGCTAGGCTAAATGCTAACAACTCACTCGAGCTCATTACATACATGACAGTAAACTCAGATCCAATCGTTTCAATCTGCAAAAGGAGTTAGCCCCTCCCACCTGTTCACGGAGTCAATGGTGATATTTTACTATGGTGTGGTACGACCAGGATAATTCTAGTCACAAATTAGAAAGAAATTAGTTATACATTAATTACAGCATTAACACAAACCCATTTTTCATTGCATGATTATTATGAGTTAGTATCATGACTGAAAACTGTGTCAAAAGTATGATGTGTCACTATGGGCTGTGCGGCGCATCAGTGTGTGAGGATCCAGGCTTCTACCACGGGCACGTATCTGACCTTTGAAGCTTTAGTTGCCTCCCCTGTCTTCTGTGTGTGTCTCAGGAGATAATAATAATAATAATGATAATGATTATTAATTATTATTATTATTGTGTGTTGTTCCTTTCAGACCTGTCCCAGAGCTGACTGTGAGGACACGGAAGAGACGTCGATACAAACTGAGCCGGAAACTCAGGACGTCTGGAGACACTGAGAACTCTTCTGACACTGATCCTGACAAGGTCCAGACCCAGACACACACTGCACCACACACACACACACTGCAACACACACACACTGCACCAGACACACACTGCACCACACACACACACACACTGCACCAGACACACACTGCACCACACACAGACACACACTGCACCAGACACACACACACACTGCACCACACACACACTGCACCAGACACACACACACTGCACCAGACACACACACACACACTGCACCAGACACACACTGCACCACACACACACACACACACTGCACCAGACACACACACACACACTGCACCAGACACACACACACTGCACCAGACACACACTGCACCACACACACACTGCACCACACACACACACACACTGCACCAGACACACACTGCAACACACACACACACACACTGCACCAGACACACACACACTGCACCAGACACACACTGCACCACACACACACACACACTGCACCACACACACACACACACACTGCACCAGACACACACACACACTGCACCAGACACACACACACACTGCACCCACACACACACACACACACACACTGCACCAGACACACACACACACACACAGTAGAATAATAATAAAACTGTTGTTCCCTTTCAGAGCTGTGCCAGTGTCGACTGTGGGCACCAACAGGAAACGAAAGAGACATATTTAGAGCCACAGACAGAGGGCGCCACCGAGAACTCCTCTGACACGGACTATGAAGTTACCACAACCAGGGATGGACCCGGACACACCACTGCACCAAACTCTTACCTGTGTCGTCCAATCACAAGCCTGTCCCTGCGACCGGTGCCGCTGTGAACTGTGAGGGCGAGTCGGGAATAGCTGAAGGGTCTAAAGGGCAGTGCCCGGTTTGTCAAATCAAACACAAAGACACAGAGATGAGAAACCTTACAGCTGTTCAGTCGGTGTCTTTGGTCTCTGAAATCCCTTTTTACAAAGACATTTGTGAGTCCGCAAAGATGAGAAACCTTACAGTTGTTCAGCCTGTAAAAGGGCATTTCAGAGACCAAAGACGGACATATGTGATAGTGAAGATAAGAGGAATCAGGAACAGCTGCAAGAGCTAAAGTCACAGTAACCGGTGCAGGCGATAACCTCTGCAAAACGTGTAAATAGTAAGGGCCTGGTTAGTGCCGTGATGGGAGACCTCTGGGAACACCAGGTGCCACAGTGGGGCGGCTGTAAAGTGCCAAACTGCACGCAGAATGAGTCTGTTGTGTGCGTGTGGATGGTTGGTGGCAGTGGGAGGGGCCAGATGCATTAAAGCTCAAGTACCTGACTTTTTTCATTTGTAAATACATTTGTCTGAACAGAAAAAGGCAGAGAGTTGATTGGCTGAATGAGGCTGAAAATCCAAATTTGTGACGGAGCGATTTGACGATATGTTATTTTTGACACTTTTGGTCTCTGTTTTTATCATTATGGACCAATGGCTGTGTTTTTCTCATTGTATTTCCTGTGATTTCTTTTGATCTGAAATATATTTATTATTTTTGTATTTTTTGTAGATTGTTCCAGTGTGAATTTTATCGTTGTGATGATTCCTTCTCATTGTACTTTTTTACCATTTCATTTTTATCCTGTGATTTGTTTATTGATTTTATTATTTTTGAAAATACATTTCCAATGAATAATCTGTACATTAAAAAGAGTAAAGATACAATCCTTCAGTATTTGCAGCAAAACAGAACTGTTTTTTTTTTACCTGGATCTAAACATTGTCAGAGTCTCACATTTTCAAGAAGACCGTTTCAGATTTTTGCTGTATAAATCTGAATGATATAAACTGTAATGATTCATGTCTACTTAAAAACATACACGTCGTCTACATGGATGTATTATAATAAAGTTTAGTGACTGACATTTCCCGTCACTAAACACTACTGGACTGGAGTATGTCGAACATGTGCTACTTCATTGTAAGCACTATGAGCCAGAGTCAACCCAGAGGTGTCAAGAAAATGAACAAACATTTACGTTAGGGAATCTACTTCAGAACCCATCTAAAAAAAATCTGTTATTTTTAACTATCTAAATAATACAACACTAATGGAAAGATTGTAGCCTAAAAGAGTGAGTGCATCTCCTGTTCATACAGCCCTAATACAGTAGGGGGCGGTCATTGCACCTGGGCAGTTGGAGGCCAATCGCCATTAAGAGAAGAAGGCATTTCCTGCAGACGCGCTGCATACGTGATGACGTCACAGCATGCGACATTTTTTCGTTGCTCGGTTAATATTTATGTCTATGGTTCGGTTCCGTAGTTTCACTGTGAATATTAAAAGAAACCCACGATCAGCTGCTTCTCATGTGGAGATAAAACAAAGATCCCGCGGACAGTCTGCCGAACAGAACCGAGCCGTGTCACTGATCCTACTCTGATCCAATAACAACAAATGAAATAGAATAAGGTTAGAGAGTGTGTTGTGTTAGCTGTCGTGCTAAAGCTAAAGCCGTGTGTAAAATGTCTAAAGCCCACACACTGAGAGCTCTGATGACGGCGCGTCTGGCTGCGGCCACTGAGGAGGTTCTGGTTCTGTTTGAAAGAACTATACAGGAATATGAGGAGGAACTGAGACTCTCCAAAGAGGAGACCCACCGGACACGGGCGGTGCTGAACTCTCTGCTCTACCCCAGGGTCAGGCTGCACCAGGCGGCTGCAGAGGAGAGTCCTGAGCCCGCTCTGAACCATGGACCGAACCATGGACCGAACCATGGACCAAACAATGAGATCCCAGAACCTTCACTGATCAAAGAGGAGCCAGAGGAACAGGCCGTGAAGCAGCAGCAGGACCAGCTGCCAGAGTAAGTCTGGTTCACTGCAGTCTGTGGAGTCCGTGCATTTGGGTTTAGTTCAGTTCAAGAAATGTTCAATAAAGAAAATTCCTGGTTTGTGACTTCCTGTTACTTACAATGATATTTAGAAAGAATTGTGATTTAGATCGAACCGAAACTGGATCAAAGGTTTGATAAATAGTTCCTCTATTGATCCCCGTTGGAAACATGCAGGTGTTCAGTAGCAGCAGAAACATATCCGTCCAAACAAACAAATCAATAGATTATTTATTATTAATAAACGTAACAATGGTTTTAAAGTTCAGCAGAGGCGGAGCAGCTGTAAGGTGGCAGCAGTTTGTAGACTCGACAGCTCTATTTAGATAAACCAATAATAACATTGATGAGTTTTACTTTTTGGGATCAAAATGAATGATGTGGTTGTTTCATGGAGAATATTGAGCTTTAACATGAGGTGTAACATGCCAGGGAAGCATAGAGACCAGAAGGAGGTTGGGTTGTCAAGAGTTACTGTGTTGAGAAGAGCATCATGTGACATCACCTGCAGGTGAAAGGTCCACAGACCAATGAAGCTAATGTGGGGGAAGTGTCTTGAGGCCAGACATGCTTCATCGATGCATTATTATTAATAAAACAGACACACAAATCATAATCAACTTTTTAAACTATGTAATAAAACCGTATGGCCTCATACAAAAGAACTAGGTCTTATTTCAAGCCAAAATAACATTTTAATTGGACTTATTGCAATCGAAGGAGAAACGGGTCAGACGCAGGGCTCCCATCATCACACCATGATCATGATCTGTGAACTCTCTCATTGGTTCTACTGACTCACATACAAACTGTGCTCATTCTTTTTCAGACAATTCCCAGAATGCAGTGCTGTGTGTGTGAAGAACCTGGAGTCGTCGCAACAACCTGAGCTCAAAGAGGAAACGCTGGAGCTACATTTACTCCCAGAGACTGAGCCAGACCCTGCGCACAGTTATGACGACTGGGGAGGACCCTTCAGCTGTTCCAATCTCCAAGACCACAACAACCAGGTCCAGACCGCTGTCCAAAACTCACACCTGTCCTTTGATTGTGATAAGTCTGCCCCCGAGACCAGAGTTCACGACGCAGGAACAGCTGAAGGGTCGAAAAGGGCCAAAGAAACGCAGCAGTGCTCTGTGTGTCAGAAGATGATGGGGGGGAAAACACGAAAACGTTTAAGGTTTCAAACAGGAGAGAGACCCTACAGCTGTTCAGTGTGTGTAAAAACATTCACGAGCATGGCTGCTGGAAACCAGGGGGACGAGTTAGGAGCAGCTGAAAGAGCCAAAGTGAAGGTTCATCAGTGTCCAGTTTGTAAGAAGATACTGAAAGGGAGTAGAACCAAGTTACACAAACACATGAGAATTCACACAGGGGAGAGACCTTACAGCTGTTCAGTCTGTGAAAAAACCTTCAGGACGATAGATCATCTCAGAACTCACAATACAGTGCACACTGGGGATAAACCTTTCAGCTGTTCTTTCTGTCAGAAAGAATATTCCTACCCCTCTGGTCTTAAAAACCACATTCAACGGAAACATTTGAATTGAGGGGTAGACCAGAGAGGGGTAGACCAGAGAGGGGTAGACCAGAGAGGGGTAGACCAGAGAGGGGTAGACCAGAGAGGCGGAGAGACCAGAGAGGGGGAGAACAGAGAGGCGGAGAGACCAGAGAGGGGGAGAACAGAGAGGCGGAGAGACCAGAGAGGGGTAGACCAGAGAGGCGGAGAGACCAGAGAGGGGGAGAACAGAGAGGCGGAGAGACCAGAGAGGGGGAGAACAGAGAGGCGGAGAGACCAGAGAGGGGGAGAACAGAGAGGGGGAGAACAGAGAGGGGTAGACCAGAGAGGGGGAGAGACCAGAGAGGGGGAGAACAGAGAGGGGGAGAGACCAGAGAGGGGGAGACCAGAGAGGGGGAGACCAGAGAGGGGTAGACCAGAGAGGGGGAGAGACCAGAGAGGGGGAGAACAGAGAGGGGGAGACCAGAGAGGGGTAGACCAGAGAGGGGGAGACCAGAGCGGGGGAGAGACCAGAGAGGGGTAGATCAGAGAGGGGTAGACCAGAGAGGGGTAGACCAGAGAGGGGGAGACCAGAGAGGGGGAGACCAGAGAGGGGTAGATCAGAGAGGGGTAGACCAGAGAGGGGTAGACCAGAGAGGGGTAGACCAGAGAGGGGTAGACCAGAGAGGGGGAGACCAGAGAGGGGGAGAGACCAGAGAGAGGGAGAACAGAGAGGGGGAGAGACCAGAGAGGGGGAGACCAGAGAGGGGGAGACCAGAGAGGGGGAGAGACCAGAGAGGGGGAGAACAGAGCGAGGGAGAGACCATCTTCTGACTCCCCACATGTCCCCTGACAAGAAAAAAACACTGCCGATCATTTTGGGTAAAAATGATTGATTTTAAAGATATCGTGAAAATATCGTTATCGGGAGTTGGGGAAAAAATATGGCCCGCCCCTGATCCAGAGACAGAGACAGAGTGAGAGACAGAGACAGAGTGAGAGACAGAGACAGAGTGAGAGACAGAGACAGAGAGGCAGAGACAGAGTGAGAGACAGAGACAGAGTGAGAGACAGAGACAGAGACAGAGACAAAGGCAGAGACAGAGGCAGAGACAGAGTGAGAGACAGAGGCAGAGACAGAGTGAGAGACAGAGACAGAGTGAGAGACAGAGACAGAGTGAGAGACAGAGACAGAGTGAGAGACAGAGACAGAGGCAGAGACAGAGTGAGAGACAGAGGCAGAGACAGAGTGAGAGACAGAGACAGAGTGAGAGACAGAGACAGAGACAAAGGCAGAGACAGAGACAGAGGCAGAGACAGAGTGAGAGACAGAGACAGAGTGAGAGACAGAGACAGAGGCAGAGTGAGAGACAGAGACAGAGTGAGAGACAGAGACAGAGACAGAGTGAGAGACAGAGACAGAGAAACCTTCGCTTTGAGAGAACCAGATTTTGGTGTTATAAAACTAATTTCCTCAAAGTTTCTGTTTCTGATGAATCCATGAATAAAAGAGACGTTCCTGTGTTGCCACGGCGAGTTTATCATCCACACATCCGGGGTCCAACACTCTGAAAATAAAGTACTTTCAAAACTTTAGCATAATTATTGATTTTGTTCCTTCTTTTTATATTTTATGTTTATTTATTCAGGAAAGTCCCACTGAGATTAGAACCTTTTTATCAAGTCCTCGACAGAAGTTACACACAATTACAGATTATAGGACATACACACAACTGGCTGTAGACCCAGGACTGAGGCTGTAGACCCAGGACTGAGGCTGTAGACCCAGGACTGAGGCTGTAGACCCAGGACTGAGGCTGTAGACCCAGGACTGAGGCTGTAGACCCAGGACTGAGGCTGTAGACCCAGGACCGAGGCTGTAGATCCAGGACTGAGGCTGTAGACCCAGGACTGATGCTGTAGACCCAGGACTGAGGCTGTAGATCCAGGACTGAGGCTGTAGACCCAGGACTGAGGCTGTAGACCCAGGACTGAGGCTGTAGACCCAGGACTGAGGCTGTAGACCCAGGACTGAGGCTGTAGACCCAGGACTGAGGCTGTAGACCCAGGACTGAGGCTGTAGACCCAGGACTGAGGCTGTAGACCCAGGACCGAGGCTGTAGATCCAGGACTGAGGCTGTAGACCCAGGACTGATGCTGTAGACCCAGGACTGAGGCTGTAGATCCAGGACTGAGGCTGTAGACCCAGGACTGATGCTGTAGACCCAGGACTGAGGCTGTAGACCCAGGACTGAGGCTGTAGATCCAGGACTGAGGCTGTAGACCCAGGACCGAGGCTGTAGACCCAGGACTGAGGTTGTAGACCCAGGACCGAGGCTGTAGACCCAGGACTGAGGCTGTAGACCCAGGACTGAGGCTGTAGACCCAGGACTGAGGCTGTAGACCCAGGACTGAGGCTGTAGACCCAGGACTGAGGCTGTAGACCCAGGACTCAAGCTGTAGTGTGTCTTGTTTTCTACCAAACGAGATACACACACTATAAACACAATGACAGACACACAGACACCAATATTCTGTCACTTCTTGAATGTAATGACATTTTCTTTTATATATGTACTGTATGTATTGTATCGGTTGCAGTTCCCCGTCGATGCTGTGGGGGAAGCAGTGAGCTGGAGCCGGACCCGACTGTGCAGAGGAAGACCCAGATCTGAGCCTAATGTTTATGACCATTATCGATCGCAAGACGCACAACGCAAAAGAATCTACAGAGCCTCGCTGTCCACGGAGGAGAGACTTCACCAAAACCAACTGTCCAAGCAGCGGATGCAGAGGTACAGACGGAGGCTCAAAGAGAAGAACCGGGCCTGCCAGGAGAACCACAACCACACAGGACCAGAGGAGCACCGCCCCAGCCCTGCCAGGAGAACCGGAACCACACAGGACCAGAGCAACACCGCCCCAGTCCTGCCAGGAGAACCAGAACCACACAGGACCAGAGCAACACCGCCCCAGTCCTGCCAGGAGAACCAGAACCACACAGGACCAGAGCAACACCGCCCCAGTCCTGCCAGGAGAACCAGAACCACACAGGACCAGAGCAACACCGCCCCAGTCCTGCCAGGAGAACCAGAACCACACAGGACCAGAGCAACACCGCCCCAGTCCTGCCAGGAGAACCAGAACCACACAGGACCAGGGGAGCACCGGCCCAGTCCTGACTAGATCCAGGAAGTACCATAACATTAGTCCAGACTAGAACCAGGAAGTACGACCACATTAGTCCTGGTCTCAGGTCTCTGCACCTGTGGCTCAGAGAATAGACTTTAAAGCAGCTCTGTTTGTTACAAGTCTCTCCATGGCTTCATACCAAAATACTCTGCGGAGCACAGGGACTGGCCTCCTGCTGGGACTCTGAGGAGCACAGGGACTGGCCTCCTGCTGGGACTCTGAGGAGCACAGGGACTGGCCTCCTGCTGGGACTCTGAGGAGCACAGGGACTGGCCTCCTGCTGGGACTCTGAGGAGCACAGGGACTGGCCTCCTGCTGGGACTCTGAGGAGCACAGGGACTGGCCTCCTGCTGGGACACTGAGGAGCACAGGGACTGGCCTCCTGCTGGTCCCAGAGTCGGGACTAAACATGAGGAGGCAGTGTTCCAGATTTGTGCAGCTAAAACCTGGAACAGTCTTCCTGAAAATGTGAGACAGGCTTCTTCTCTGACGATGTTCAAATCCAGGTTAAAACTGAAGGATTTTCTCTTTTCTATGTTTCTTTTTTTGTTCTTTGTTCAACACTGAGTTTTTTGTGTATGAACTGTGCTTCACAAATAAACGTTTGTTGTTGTTTTCTGATGAGATGAAGACGGCGTGTCGAGGTCGGATTCATTCAGTTTTAAAACTCTCTCTTCAATCCACTTTATTTATATTATTTATACAGCACATTTCATAAACAAGTTTCCAAGAGAGATGAAAGTATCTCCTGTAAAAACACAGGTCTGCAGCTTTATGTAGAAGGTGTGTGGGTCAGGTCAGAGGAAGTCAACCACGTGTCACGGAATTTGGTGTCGCAGAACCCCCAGTACCCTTCACTCTTTATTGCATAGACTCATCTGTAGAGAATGGATCACTTCAGTGAGATTTCGGTCTCGACGGAGGCCTCGCTACAGATTGTGAGGAGCCACTTTGAGCAGATCGGTGGCCTTCAGTGGGTGATGTTGTCCAAAGGCATGTGCGACTTGGAGACCAGGCGCATTCTGACCGCCATGTTTAACTCGCTGGTCCAAACGCTGTCCGCCAACATCTTGGGACTGATTGTTCCGAGAAGCGAAGTGAACCACAAGTTCCTGAGTGAGAGCGAGTCGACCCGAGCTCACGGATCTGTCGTCAATGTGGTGCAGAACACCATGGGGCAAGTGTTCTCTCAGGCTCTGAATCTGCCCACGGACTCGTTGGACAAACACCAGGACTCGCAGGAGCTCACCACCCTGATCAAGCAGGAAGTGTCCACGAAGGTGAACCGTGTCCTTTCTGAGGAGCAGGAGGAGGGCCCTAGGATGGTGGACTCCTTCATCAGCAGCGAGAGTGTGGCTCGCAGCATGATCGAGAAGGGAAACTCCTGCCTCAAGGGGTGCCTTCGCACCTTGTTCTGCTCCTGCGGCCTCCGTGCTGCCACAAAGAAGTCGGACTCTTTGGAAAATGGGCCGTGCCGCTGCAGCTTCCTCAGATTCGCAAAAAATAATTTCCGAAGCATGCAGGAAAACCTGGAGGCAGAACTTCTGGTTGAAGAGTTAGAGCCAGAGACGAGGAGTTTGTCGAGGGGGTCGAGCTGTGGAAGTTACTCAGACCTGGAAAAAACTCTGGGATATGCTTTGAGGACTCCAGAGGTTAGTTTTGAGCAGTTGCAACCTGAAGTAGAGGAGTTGTTTCGAAAGCTAGATCTGTCGACAAGTCCTGATAAAGAGACCAATCAAGAAAGACTGCCCCAGGCCTTGGACAGTGAATCAATCACTGCCTTTGCTCAGAAACTGACAGACACAATGTACTGTCACTTTCAGATCCTAAACAAACTTGCTTGTGCTGCGTCACCGAACGCAGAGACAAGGAGAGAGTTTGAGAACCAATATCCCGAGCAGACATACACACGGAAAACAAGGGCAAAGTGTAAACCCAGACACCATGACCTGAAGCGGACATACACGACGGTTAGGAACGAGGTATCGGATCACCTTCAAACCTTACAGAATTACATCACACAAGACCCATTGGAGAACTTCTACCGCCAGGATCTGTTTGAGTTGTGCATGGAGAAGCCGCCTCTGTCGCCCAACTCCCAGAAAGCCCTGACGTATAATGTGTCCGTTCCTTCTCAAGGGTCGGTCCCCGTCCAGATGGACTTTCAACAACTGCCAGGGCAGTCTTTCAACAGCCAGAAACACGACCTGTTTGAGAGGTCTATGGTGCACCCCAGAGCCTGTGTGCCATCACGGATCTCTAGAGACGTTCCAGCGATCGTCTTACGCACACCAGAGGTCAGCACCAGGACAATCTCAGGCATCTCTGAGAATTCTTTGAGGAGTCACAAGGACGACCTGTTCGAGAAGTCCCTTTTGCCTCCTAAAGTAGAGGTGCCTTCTTTCATCCATGAGTACGGTCCGGCGTGTCTCATGAAAATCCCAGAGAGCATGACAAGAATCAGTGACAGAGACATGACTCTATGCCTGATAGAGGCTTTGATGATTGAGATGTTCAGGGGAAAGGCTGCTTTGCGTCCGTGGGACAAAAACTACAAAGTGATCCGCGACCGTTTGACCGAAAAGGCCTGGGAGGAGATCCAGCTTTCTGAACACCAGGTGAAGAAAACGGAGAAGGGAATGAGTAAAATCATTGTCGCGATTGTGAAAGACCTGAAATCTCAGTACGGCACAGCACAGAGAATGTTGGAAAATGCTTTGGACGGAAAAGACCGGACTTTTGACGAGACGGTTTTGAAGTCCCTGCAGTACCACCTCGAGCACAACCTGCGGAAGAAGTCTTTTCTGAGCCGCGTGTCCAGAGGTCTCTGGAAGCTCGCCCAATGCTGCTGCTGCCCCAACATTGAAGAGTTAACACCCTCAGAACACCCCAATGCTAGCTACAAGACCCGATTGGTAGCTACTAAGGGGTTTGGATGAGGTTAGCTTGATAAACGGGGGAAAAGTGAGCAAAACTTTTCACATTTAACATCACCTTTAGCAATCAGCTAACCGACAAGCATTGCTCCAACCCCTCGTGTTTGGATTTGTCTTGAATTCAAACGAAAGGGTGAAAGCAAAAGAAAAAGCACAGACCTTTTAAAGAAAGCAAACCATCGCCAACAGCCATTGGCTTCTCCCCAAGACTAAACTAAGACTTTAGTTGGAATCCTCACGATCAGATTATTGTACAATCTGAAAGAGAGCAAAGGAAGGTTTCTCACCCATCATCTGTACTTCTTAGCAGGTTTTCCCGTCGTTTCTTCCTTAATCCAAAGGACTTCTTCAAGGAATGAATTCTCAGACGCGTGTTGGAGATTTATAACCTCTGGGTGTGGTTAACTGAGGCTAACGGCCAGCAGGGTCGTTAGACCTGCTTCCTTCTACATCAAACAGACCTTAGATTGTTAATGAGTTAGCATCAGGATTAGAGGTTATAAATCTCCAACACGCGGTCTGAAAATTCATTCCCTGAAGAAGTCCTTTGGATTAAGGACGAAACGTTGGGAAAACCTGCTAAGAGGTACAGATGATGGGTGAGAAACCTTCCTTTGCTTTGACTAAACCCTGTACGACTGAGAGCTTACACAAACTTATCTGAAAGAGAGGGTGATAAGACAAACTAGAGGCGTGTTCATAATTGTAAATGTCTGATTTTAACTTTTTAGCGCTGTCAGTGAGTTAGCATGTAGCTAGCTAACAGACAGTGCGAGATAATCCTCGGAGGGAACTGGAAACAAAACACACTACATAAAAAAAAAAAAGATATTAAATACAATTGTTTTTTTATTGGCTTAAAACTGTCAGTAACGCTTTTGTTGATTTTTGTTTTCTAGATTTAAATCTTAAGCATTTCTTTTATAGTTTCACAGCGACTGAAATAAGGAGCACTTTGTCAACAGCACTTAAACAGAGAACTCAATGATAATCGTCACAACTCTATTGACCACAGACCAGATCAGATTCTTGCAGCTTCCTGAAAATGTGAGACAGGCTTCTTCTCTGACAATGTTCAAATCCAGGTTAAAACAGTTCTGTTTCTGCAACAACTGAAGGATTGTCTCTTCACGTTTTTAATGTTCTGTTGTTTTTCATTTTTATTTTAATGCCTTGTGTGATATTTCTTGTTGGTTTTGCACTGTGTGAACGGTGCTTTACAAAAACATGTCTCACCATTACAGCACAATAACATGTTTTCAATTATTGGTTGATATAATGAAAAAGTTAAATCTTCAAAAGAATCTGTTGATGGGCTCTGTATCTCTCTTACTTTGCACATTCATTCATTCATTATGGCTAGCTAAGAGTCTGTAATTTGTATTTTTCTGTTTATATACATTAAACCTTCTTTTTTATATATTTAAGCAGAGTCTGAGCTTCCATTCACTGTCACTGTTTGTGCAGGAGGGAAACCCAGTTGCGCCACATACTGTAGATTATTTACCACAATAGCCTCTGTTTTGTTACTGCTTAGCTGAAGGAAGTTGTCTGCCATCCATGCCTTTATCTCCTCCAGACAAGTGTGGAGAGCAGCGGAGGAAGAGGAGTCCGTTTTATGATAGAGCTGTGTGTCGTCGGTGTCGCAGTATGTGGTGAACAGGACTGGGCCCAGGACAGATCCCTGTGGGACACCGCAGGTAACCGTGTGGGGCAGGGATTTTGCAGGCCCTAAGACTACGTGCTCCTGCCCAGGGGGGTAGCACCAAATTCTGGGCCCCGGGTACAAACAGTCTCAATGGGCCCCCACTACACGTTTCTTATATATATATATATACATATATCTTCATCCTACTCCTGTTCTTCTTTTCATGGAATGTACTATTGTTGTGTTTGTTGATTTGTTCCAATTGTATAGTATGTTGCATTACCATGAAAAAAGAATAAATAAAATGAAATGAAATATATATATATATATAAAAAAAAAATTGTCCACTCACCTTTGGCCCTCCGCGGGCGGTTATCCCTCTCTAAGCTCGGGTCCTCTACCAGAGGCCAGGGAGCTTGAGGGTTCTGCGCAGTATCTTTGCTGTTCCTAGCACTGCACATTTCTGGACCGAGATGTCCGAGGTTGTTCCGGGGATCCGCTGTAACCACTCATCTAGCTTCGGGGTCACTGCCCCGAGTGCACCGATCACCACGGGCACTACTGTCACCTTTACCCTCCAGGCCCTCTCCAGCTCCTCTCTGAGACCTTGGTATTTCTCAAGCTTTTCATGTTCTTTTTTCCGGATGTTACCATCGCTTGGAATTGCCACGTCCACCACCACGGCTGTCCTCTGCCCTTTGTCTACCACCACGATGTCAGGTTGGTTTGCCATTACCATATATAATATATATGTATATATATATATATATATGTATATATATATATATATATATATATATATATATATATATATATTTAATTGTGCCTTCATCTGGCCATGATGCTTCTCTTCCTGAAACTGAAATAAAGTAGCTTTAATGGGTTGCAAACAGATACTATATTCCATCATTACAGTGTATAGCTATTACGTATATGCCTGCATGCCTTTATGTGATATGTGTATATGGCTATTCATATAAAATATATAGTATATCTTATCTTATTTGTATGGACCATGAGTAGGTAAGTTACTTATTTGTTATTGTACAAAAATACAACAAAATACTTTTTATGGTTCATTATTATCCACCAATTTAGACTTTGTGGCAAAATTCAATCGATGCAATATTTTTTTTAAATAAGCCTATTCCATTTTCAACTAAACACCTGTGCCTAGCCTTACTCCGCCCACATGAACATTTGAAATTTGTCTGTAAAAATGGCACCAGTGGAGAAGAAGGGGGGCTTACAGTTGGGCATGGTCTGGGCTGTGATTGTCAGTTGTCATTTCTGGCTTAAAAGCAATAGTTTACACACCAGAAAGTCTCATTTCACCCTTGTTTACACACTAAGATAATTGTAGAGCTAGAAACCTTTAGACCATTAGACTTATTTACATTATTTTGACCACTAGATGTCACCAGAAAACTCCAAATCGGTGCGGGGGCGTGTGATTTGTATGGTTATAACCAGATGATCCAATGCAGAGGCCAGTGAGTGACCCCAAGACTCACGGACGGACAGATTATGACAATAGTGGGAATATAGGGTACAGGGTTGTACATGAAAATAACTCTTTGCTGCCTGCCTTTGAAGGAGAAGTGGACAGCAGTGTGTGTGAGCTCCCTTTACAGCTGCGCGTCTGTGTGTGTCACTCTGGATAACGTTTTTTTTTACCACGTACACGGCACACTGTTAGCTCTCCGTGAGTTTAGAATACAGAAACAAATGTCTCTGGGTTTTCTCCTGATGTGGCCTTAACACGTCTCTATATACTCACCTCTCGTGTGGAAGAACTGAGTAAGCAATTGCTTGCCCTCATTACACTTTTTCTCCCTGTCCTGTCTTTCTTTTCTTTTCTGAAATCCTGATTTTCCTTTCTTTGGAAAAGACATTTCTATTTTTCCCGCTTCTGCCGCTGCTTGTCAAACAAATCAACTCGCTGCAGCGGCAACAACACAGCAACAAGCGCACATGTGGGTCGTACCATTTGATCTTTTGTAAGGGGGTGGCAGGGCCCTGATATAGCATACAAATTTGTTTTTAAAGGAAAACTGAGGTTAAAACGTTGGTTATTTTCATACAGGGCCCCTTTCATTCAAATTGTAATAATATGAATATACCACAATGCCTAATACATATAAATATAAAGACACACTTTAGAAGGCCCCTCCCCGCCTTGGGCCCTGGGTACTCGGTACCCTTTACCCCAGTCCGGCGCCCATGCTCCTGCCTCCCCGTGAGATATGAGTATGACCGGAACCAGGGGAGTGCAGCAGGATGTTATGGTCCACCGTGTCAAAGGCAGCAGGTCCAGGAGTATGAGCTGTCGTAGATGTTATGGTCCACCGTGTCAAAGGCAGCAGGTCCAGGAGTATGAGCTGTCGTAGATGTTATGGTCCACTGTGTCAAAGGCAGCAGGTCCAGGAGTATGAGCTGTCGTAGATGTTATGGTCCACCGTGTCAAAGGCAGCAGGTCCAGGAGTATGAGCTGTCGTAGATGTTATGGTCCACCGTGTCAAAGGCAGCAGGTCCAGGAGTATGAGCTGTCGTAGATGTTATGGTCCACCGTGTCAAAGGCAGCAGGTCCAGGAGTATGAGCTGTCGTAGATGTTATTGTAAATTACTTTCTGTATTCACAGCATTATTCTATGCTTTTATTTTGAAAGGGAAAAGACCGAAAATGAGTCGACCTGTTGTTTCCGTGCTGAGTTGCATTTTTTTGAGACGGAGCTGTGGAGATGAATAAATTACCTCCAACGATCTGGCTTCATCTTTCTTGTACTCCCATACCCTCGGTTACATTGGTGGCAGCGGTGGGATTCCTCCAGTGCAGGAGTCCATTGTCCTAAGGTGAAAAGTATACCTCCGTGAGGCTGACTTGCACGAGGGCAGCTAGTGTTAGCCACTGCTAACTAGCGTTTTTTTTCTTCTTCTCTTTTTGCGGCGTTATAACAAGAGGCTGCTATAATGTGGACAAGGGACGAAGACCCTTTGGACTTTAAAGTGCAGAGAGGGAGTTTTGGCAACAGTAATATTAAAATTGATCTTCCACCGCTATTTTCTGGCTCAGACAATGAGAGCTTCTCGTGTTGGTCCCGCCAGTATGAGGTGGCTGTGAGGGCGCTAGTTTCAGGCACTGGTGGTGACTTTGACTATGAACTGGCCAGGATACTTCCTACAAGGCTCTCCAAGGCTGCTTTTCTTCTGTGGGACAGTCTTCCAGCAGCCGTCCAGGCAGATTACCGTGCAGTGAAAGAAAGGCTGCAGGATGCTTTCAGACAAAGACATTTCCTGGACTGTTTTAAAGCAAATCTCTCGGCCCGAAAGCGCTCCCCTGGTGAAAGCCTAGATGTTTATGCCGCTGACATTGGAAAGCTCGTACAAGAGGCTTTCCCAAATTATGGTCCAGCAGCTCAAAGGGAAGAAAAGTTTCGTAGATTTTTAGCTGGACTTGACTCATGTCTGCGAGCAAAATGTCAGGAACAGGGAGCCACAGATTTGGATGAGGCCCTTGTGATTGCAGGGCGCTGTGATATGGCCCGGGAAACACTCAGGAATGACTATATGTACCCCATAGACAGTGGAAACATTAAACCAACCACTGCTCTGGTACAGTCCATCTCAGAGGGGGCTAGTTGGCAACGCACGATCGACAGATTGGCCGAAGATATGAAAGAAATGAGAACGGATGTTCGAAAGCTCTCGGAGGAAAATGAGAGACTCAGACAGGGTGCTCGAGATGGCTCCTCTACCACGCCTCAACGTTGTCAATGTCGGTGTGGGGCTAGAGGCTGCCAGTCCCTGCGTTCCTGGAGTGAGCCAAGAGGGCGGTCACCTGAAGCCGGTTGGCAGCAGCGGCGTGGGGAGAAGTATTCCGGTCCAGAGCGGCGCTCGCCGTCACCCTACAATCGCCGTTCATCATCGCCGTACAATTCCCGCTCTGACTCTCCAGGGAGGCAGAACCTGAAGCCCACCGGGGACGTCGTCTTCAACGCCCCGGAGCAACGTCGTGGAGTGCGGTTCCTTTCCCCAGACAACCACCAACAGGGAAACGGGATGTAGCTGTCGTCGCGGGCCAGACCCCAGCTACATCACCTGTGCGGCCCCATGTGAATGATTCATTTCAGCCCTTTGCCAGTCATGTCACAGCACAGTTCCCTAATACGGTGCAACTCTCCTCATATGTAAGGGGGGTTATTGAAGGTACAGAGCTGGATATCTTAATTGACTCTGGTTCTACTGTATCCTTCATAAGTGCAGATTTTCGTCAATCAATTCCGGCTCTTCGCAAGCGGCCTTTAGGCACAGATCTTATTGCCGCTTGTGCTGTGAATGGGGAGCTATTGGACACATTAGGTACAGTGACCGTTACCTTACGCTTAGGCAGTCAGTCGATGCAGCATGTTTTCCATGTGCTCCGGAAATCTACTCAAACAGCACTTCTCGGCCTGGACTTCCTTATCTCACAGCATGCACTGTTAGACTTCCCTCGTGCTAAGTTGCAGCTGTGGGGCACAGAGATTTCCTTGCTGAGTAGTGCGGATTTGATCCCAGGGTGTTGTAATGTGTCTCTCCTTACTAGTCTGACATTGCCCCCACTTTGTGAGATGCAGGTGCCCGTCCGCGTGTCCTCCTCTAGGCCCACAGACCGTCTCCCTGACTTTGTTGGTTACCTTGAGCCTAACCCCCAGAGTAGTAGTGAGTGTGTTGTTGCGCACACCGTCTCCTCAGTTAACAAGGGTTTGACTGTAGCCCGACTTTTAAACCCCACCAAGGAGAACCTAGTGATACGAAGGGGTACACATTTGGGGGAATTTTTCTCTGTCGGGGATGGTGACCTGGTGCTGCCTCCTACACGAGGTAGTGGCACTGTAGCTGCTGTAGGGTCTGATGCAGTGCCCCCGGTGTCTTTGGATGGGTCGCCTGCCAGTTCAGACCAGGTCACGCAGTTGAAAGCGCTACTGGCAGAGTACATAGACATATTTAGTACTAGTAAGGCGGTAACTGGTAAATGTACTCTGGTCAAGCACCACATTAACACTGGTGACCACCCACCTCAGAGACAACGTGCTTATCGCACTTCCCCTGAGAAGAGGGAGGTGATTGACCGCCAGGTGAAAGCCCTGTTGGTTGATGGGGTAATAGAGGAGAGCTGCAGCCCCTGGGCCTCGCCTGTTGTCCTTGTAAAAAAAAAGAATGGTGAATGGCGATTTTGTATTGATTACAGACGACTGAACAGTGTTACAGTGAAGGACTGTCATCCTCTGCCCCGGATAGATGATACTCTGGATGCCCTCTCTGGCTCGTGCTGGTTCAGTACACTTGATTTTTCAAACGGCTATTGGCAGATCGAGGTGGCTGAGGAAGACAGACAAAAGACAGCTTTTACCACAGGGAGAGGCCTGTACCAGTGGAGGTCTATGCCCATGGGCCTGACCAACTCCCCTGCTACATTCCAACGTGTAATGGAGCTGGTTCTGCGCGGACTCCCGTGGCAGGTCTGTATGGTGTACTTGGACGATGTGTTAATATTCAGTCCTACGTTTGAGGAGCACATGTCCAACCTGCGGGAGGTGTTTTCTCGTATCCAGGCAGCGGGTCTCAAGCTCAATCCCCAGAAGTGTCACCTGGCTCGGGATCATGTGGTGTTCCTTGGCCACGTCGTTTCCAGTCGGGGCCTGCAGCCGGACCCCAGGAACACTAACAAGGTCAAGTCATGGCCCACACCGCGTTCGCCCACAGAGGTGAGAGCCTTCCTGGGACTCTGTTCATATTACAGGCGCTTTGTGAAAGATTTTGCTCGCCTTGCAGCCCCATTGCATCATCTCACATGTAAGGATGTCCCTTTTGTTTGGACTGAGGGCTGTGATGCTGCATTTGGGCATTTTAAATCGGTGCTCTCATCTGCCCCCATAGTGACCATGCCTGACTTTAATGTTCCATTTAAGGTGTACACTGATGCGTCTATGGAAGCTGTTGGGGCGGTGTTAGCTCAGGATAAAGATGGGCTGGAGAGTCGTCGTATATGCTAGTCAATCGCTTACTAATACTCAAAAGCGTTGGGCTACATTTGATAAGGAGCTATGGGCTGTGGTGTGGGCTGTGCGTCAGTTTAGACATTACATCGGATCATCCCCTTTTACTATCATAACTGACCATAAGCCTCTTTTAGGACTCCGGGGCATGTCAATTGATAAGGACCCATCCGGAAAGAGGGCCCGGTGGATCCTTGAACTGGACCCGTATAACTGGAGTATGCAGCACAAGGAGGGGCGCCGTCATACTAATGCGGATGCCCTCTCACGGCGCCCCGAAGGGGTCCTGGGCCCTGCCCCCCTGGTCAATGTGATAAGCTCCTCTCCAGCGCCACACTCCGCTCCTATTGATGCCCAGGTCAGGGTGCACTTTCCTCCGGTGCCCTCTCTGCCGGTGCCCTCTCCGCCTGTGCCCTCTCCGCCTGTGCCCTCTCCGCCTGTGCCCTCTCCGCCTGTGCCCTTTCCGCCTGTGCCCTCTCCGCCTGTGCCCTCTGCGCCTGCACCCTCTCCACCCGGGGCTCCTCCTGTGGGTGGAGAACGCTGGCATTCACTGATGGGTGACAGTGATTATATTGCCAGGCTTCAGAGGGAAGATCCGGACATTGGTACTGTATTGGACTGGATCAGGGCTGGGGGTTCTCGTCCACCAAGGGGGCAGTTGCGTGGCTCGCGGTGGCTGCGGAAATTGTGGGCGGAGTTCCCCAGGCTTTCCCTGGTGGGGGAGCTTCTTTGCCGGACAGTTTATCCCTCTCCTGTGGGGGAACCCCAGCATCAAGTTGTGGTGCCGGCATCGCTGGTTCCAGAGTTGTTAAGCCAGTTGCACGGCGGCCCTGTTTCTGCACATTTTTCAGCGGAGAGAGTGTGGACGCAGGCCAGGACGGTCTGTTATTGGCCCTCCATGCTCAAAGACATTAGGCAGTGGTGTGAACAGTGTGTACCATGTCAGACTCGCAAAGCCCCAGTACCTAAACACAGGGCTCCGATGGGAGGGTTGCAGACTGTGCGTCCGTTTCAGCGTGTGGCTGTGGACATTTTGGAACTTCCGGTAACTTCCAAGGGCAATCGCTATGTGTTGGTGGTGAACGATTATTTTTCAAAGTTTGTCAATCTGTATGCATTACCTAACCAGACTGCTCTGACTGTGGCTCAATGTCTGTTTGATGATTATGTGCTTCTGCATGGTGTTCCAGAGACTGTACATAGCGATCAGGGCAGACAGTTTGAGGCGGAGATTGTGCAGAGTTTATGTTCGCTCTTGGGCATTAAGAAAACACGCACAGCTCCATACAATCCAAAGTCGGATGGTATGGTCGAGCGGTTTAATCGTACCCTCATTGACCAGCTCGCAAAATCATTGCTGTCATGTGGTGGTGAATGGGATGACTACCTCAAACATGTGGCTTTTGCTTATAATACCTCTGTTCATGCATGTACGGGTTACACCCCCTTTTACCTATTGCATGGACGTGAAGCCCGGGTCCCGGTGAATATGATGTTGTCGACACCCACTGCTCTTCGCTTGCCTATTTCTCATGAGGATTTTGCCTCCTCTCTCGCAGAGAAGTTGGGAGTGGCCTTTGCTAACACTAGGCAAAATGCTACAGTTGCCCATGAGAGTCAGAAATTGTATCATGATGTAGGGGCTCGACACAAACCGTACAATGTGGGTGATTTGGTGTGGCTTCACAACCCCAGGGAGGATAGGATGAAGCTAGCTGCGCACTGGAAAGGCCCCTTTAGGGTTGCTGATACTGTGAACTCTGGGGAGGTAACAGGGCTCTCGTATCGTATTTGTGATCCTTTAGTTGATGGGCCTGGACTTGTCGTCCATTTTGATAGGTTAAAGCCCTATACCCTGGGTTCTCTGCCCAGTCGCCCGTCTGGTGCCCGCCCTGGTCTGACCTGTGGGTCTCCTGATGGGTCTGGTGTGGGTTTGTTGTTTGATATGCAACCTGATGAGCCGGAGTTCACTCGGCCACTGACTGAGTCACGGGTGGGTAGGGCTTTGAAAGTGCCTGCCCGCTTTAAGGATTTTGTTACTTACAGTTGAGGATTTTGTTTACTTTTGTTTGTTCTTTTGTTACTGCTCTTGACATGCAGTATGTGGCATTGGTCTATTTATCACTGTGTTTTTTTTTTATTTTTTTCCGATGTGGTTAAACGGGGACGTTTTTTTTCTCTGTTGGGGGGGAAGTATGTAAATTACTTTTCTGTATTCACAGCATTATTCTATGCTTTTATTTTGAAAGGGAAAAGACCGGAAATGAGTCGACCTGTTGTTTTCCGTGCTGAGTTGCATTTTTGAGACGGAGCTGTGGAGATGAATAAATTACCTCCAACGATCTGGCTTCATCTTTCTTGTACTCCCATACCCTCGGTTACATTATGGTCCACCGTGTCAAAGGCAGCAGGTCCAGGAGTATGAGCTGTCGTAGATGTTATGGTCCACCGTGTCAAAGGCAGCAGGTCCAGGAGTATGAGCTGTCGTAGATGTTATGGTCCACCGTGTCAAAGGCAGCAGGTCCAGGAGTATGAGCTGTCGTAGATGTTATGGTCCACCGTGTCAAAGGCAGCAGGTCCAGGAGTATGAGCTGTCGTAGATGTTATGGTCCACCGTGTCAAAGGCAGCAGGTCCAGGAGTATGAGCTGTCGTAGATGTTATGGTCCACCGTGTCAAAGGCAGCAGGTCCAGGAGTATGAGCTGTCGTAGATGTTATGGTCCACCGTGTCAAAGGCAGCAGGTCCAGGAGTATGAGCTGTCGTAGATGTTATGGTCCACCGTGTCAAAGGCAGCAGGTCCTGGAGTATGAGCTGTCGTAGATGTTATGGTCCACCGTGTCAAAGGCAGCAGGTCCAGGAGTATGAGCTGTCGTAGATGTTATGGTCCACCGTGTCAAAGGCAGCAGGTCCAGGAGTATGAGCTGTCTCAGTGTCGTAGATGTTATGGGTGTGGAGTGGGTATGAAGTTGTATTGTAAAAAACTGTCTCCGAGACCTTGAAGAGAAGTGGTAGGTTGGAGATGGGTCGGTGGTAAGCCAGGTTGTCAGGGTCCAGTGAGAGCTTTTCAGATGGGGGCGGATGTTGGCAGTTTTCAGGGCTGGGGGGACGTGGTCTGTACGTAGTGAATTATTGGTGATGTTAGTTATAAGTGGATTATGGCTGTGGCAGTTGCTTTGATTAGTGGTGTTAGGGTCCAGTGTGCAGGTAGAGGGCCTCATGTTCTTCAGAATACACTTCTTCAGGACAGGTGTGGTCACAGGAGGAAGAGCAGAGTGTGTGGATGTGACCTTATTGGTAAAGAAGTTCATGAAGCTGTTGCATTGTTTGTCTCTGATGTCACTGTGAGTGTGTGTGGGAGGCTTTAGCAGTGAGTTTATTGTAGAAAACGGCTGTTTAGAGTTTCCAGTACTAGTTGTGATTTTCTGGGAGTAAAATGTTGATCTGGCTACGGTGAGAGCTTTTGTAAGCAAGTACGTAATCTTTATTTATATAGCGCCTTTCACAGACCAGAGTCACAAAGTCACAAAATGTGTCTCTCACTCCACACAGAGAGCGAGGTCGCCAGCACAGGAGGCACACGCCAGAGCTATTGTACATGTTTTCAGTGGTAGGAGGAACTGGAGCACCTGGAGGAAACCTATGCAGACATGAAGAGAACATGCAAACTCCACTCCAATAATATAATACTTGCTATTAATCCAATCATAAAGGAGATCACAAGCTTATTTTGCTTTCCGGTCAATACTAAAAAAATCGCAGCAAAATATACAGAAAATGTGATGTCTCCGAATATTTATTGTAGTAACCTGCCTTTCTGAAAGTACGTAGTTTTGTTTGAAATTGTTTCCTTTGTCTTTGTAGAATTTTGAACACAATGGTTTTGTCTTCTAATGAGGTAGTACATGTACATGTACTACTACATGGTAGTACATGTACATGTGTTTGTACAATATGTAATAAATACAAAACAATAATAAAAAAAAATCAGGCCATGGGCTACACTTATGAATGGCTAAACTCACGGATCTATAATAATATCTGCTAAACTCATGGATCTAAATAACAATCTCTCCCTGCGGGCGCGCACTGTTGACGTCACGATCTGCGACTTGTTGGTTGTTTTTGTTCTTTAGCTGCACGTGTGAGATGCTTCTTATTTTAAATATATAACAATAATCGGACAATCTGCTGCTTTATGTGGTCACAAAAGAGAACAATCTGAGGAACAGAACGCGCCATGTTTCTAATCTGAACATTTACGACAAGAACGACAGAAAAGGCTTCTGTGTTAGCTCTGTTAGCTCTGTTAGCTCTGGTGCTGAAGCTAAAACCGTGTGTAAAATGTCTAAAGCCCACACACTGAGAGCTCTGATGACGGCGCGTCTGGCTGCGGCCACTGAGGAGGTTCTGGTTCTGTTTGAAAGAACGATACAGGAATATGAGGAGGAACTGAGACTCTCCAAAGAGGAGACCCACCGGACACGGGCGGTGCTGAACTCTCTGCTCTACCCCAGGGTCAGGCTGCACCAGGCGGCTGCAGAGGAGAGTCCTGAGCCCGCTCTGAACCATGGACCGAACCATGGACCGGACCATGGACCGAACCATGGACCGGGCCCGGAAATCCCAGAACCTTCACGGATCAAAGAGGAGCCAGAGGAACAGGCCGTGAAACAGGAGCAGGAGCAGCTGCCAGAGTAAGACCACACACTGCTGTTTCTGTGATTCCAGAGTAAATCTAACCCTAGCTCTACTCGGCTCTACTCGGCTCTACTCTGCCTGGTTGCGTTTCCATTGTGCTTTAATATCTGATTCGTTTCGTAGCTGATTACGGATCTTACATGAGACTTTTGGTGTCAAAGCTGAGCAGGTCATTACAACAGTCTGCAAAAGTCCTGACCTGTGAACCTTCTGTCATTTTCTTCACAACAAACCAGTAGAACCAGGTCCAAGAGGGTCCTAGGGCTGTCACAATAAATTATATCCAGTTATTGCTCGATAACTAAAAATGAGGTCGATAAGTCTGAGGGCCTCGATAACTTCTGTTTGTGCAAACGTGTGTTGCTCTTTGGCATTAGTCTAGCAACCTGACAAAGAGCCAATCAGAGGCTTGTAATGTGTCCAAGGAGCGAGGAGCCAGCTCATCCGAATGGACATAATTATAGCCTTTATTAATATTGGATATTTAATGTCATTCCTTGGTTAGAAGAGAACAAGAGTTCCAGAACAGTGTTATATGTTTTAAGAATTAAAAGTTTGATCTTTAAAATTCTCCCTTTTAATGCCATTTGGCCTTAAAATATATAAAGGAGGATTTTTCAAAATTTTAGTAAAGAACCGTCTTCTCCACTTTCTGAACAAAACTCTTTGGTCTTATTTGACGAGCACAAATCACCAGAATGATTGACAACTGGGAGGACCAATAGACTTGATGATCCACCCGGAAGTAGAAAAACCTAGTACCTAGTTTTAAGTGGCAAAAGCTTAAAAATGGCAATTTTAAAAATCATTGCGTGATTGCGATATTGTTGTTTTGTTTTAATGTTTATGATTTAATGTTTAATGTCAGCGTTACCGTTGCGTAGGAAAAATTCTGAACGAATAAAGGTTGATTGATTTGTCTAAAAACAGATGGAAACAAGGTAAAGTTCTAAGATATTTATCACGTACACAGTAAAAATGGGGTGTAATGTTCCAGAGTAAAGTGGTTTTACCCCGGAGTATAATTAACACTGGTGAGAGTAAAGTTGCGCCATCGGTGGTGTTAAAAGTGAGAGCACTGCCACTCTGCCATGGTCTACGGTGGTCTACGGTGGTCTGCGGTGGTCTGCCGTGGTCTGCCGTGGTCTGCCGTGGTCTACGGTGGTCTACGGTGGTCTGCTGAAGTTACGGACGCTGCTGGAGGAGGAGCTAGTCCCGGTAAGTAACGTCCCTTTGTTGTTGCACCAATACTGTGGAACATAAGTTCTGAGTCGTGCTGTAGCTTCCGTCTCTACGCCTCACTTTACGGTCATGTATCGACTTCACTGTTTACCTGCTCAGGGACCACAGGTGTGAATTAGCACTGCTGCTACAATCAGGTAGAGACGGTCTTTACTGTTCACTGTCTGTAAAAATAAAAATCATATACATTAAAGTTCCATGTAGCGGTCCACCTTTCAGGAGAAAGTCAATGATAACTTTAAACCAATGAACATAAATTAATAATAAATGAGAGAGGGATATAGATCCAGGACTGTAGGAGGAGGACTGAGGCAGGTCCCAGGCGGGTCCCAGGCGGGTCCCAGGCGGGGACGGGGTGCAGCCCACGAGCCGGGTTGGCAGGACAGGTCTGCAAAATGAAAGACTGTTTTAAGCCTTGAACGTAGCGGCCGTGTCTTTCCCTAACGTGGATGAAGCTGATTCCACAGTGAGGAGCTTGGAGCTAAAGGCTCTGCCTCCGACTGAGCTTTTGTATATTTATAATTCAGCCTTAATTTAGCAAAAATAGGATTCATTGGATTCCTCGATAGAAAACTCCATAATTAAAATAGTGGATAGTTGGACGTTAATGACTGTTTTGTTTGTAGGAGCAGCATGGTGCTGTGTGTAGAGGTCAGAGGAGAACAGAGACACGTGACTCTGACGGAGCTGAGCTTTGGTGCTTTCCTTAAAGAAGGTGAGTGCAGTGGTTCAAGAGAGAGTCCTCAGAATAACACAGATGCTTCAAGTAGCAACATGTAAGATGTTCATGTCTCGTCATCATTAAAGGGCCCTAATCTGTCGAAAGGCATTAACCGTTCTTTTCCAATACTTCTTTAGATGATAACAATCGTTCAGAGAGATTTGGATTTCAAAATTAGTTTCACAGCCGCTAAATCCACTGTTTCAACAATTAGAAAGTCCGTGATCCGGGCGGCAGAGCTAATCTCACCGCTAAAGTACCGTGTGGTTTCCAGTTGGTGCTACGGCTAAGCTAGCAACATCTCTTACTGCACCTTTGATAATGTTTATCTTATCTTCTGTAACAGTGTGTCGTCAGTTCAACATTGCAGAAAGCAGACGCTCGGACATGAAGGTGTTAGACCAGTCCGACACCGAGGTGGACTGCGAGGTGTTTGAGGAAGTTGTGAGAGAGTCAGCGGGAACTTTAAGAGTCGTGCTGCGCAGCGAAGGACCTGGTATTCACACGTTTGGTTTAAAGGTGCTCTGAGAGAAGCTGAGCGACATCCATGGACTGTAAATATTAGCATGTTCACATGCTGTTCATTTGACGAGTGCATTCAGAAGTCCACAGCATCTGGAACCTAGCGTTGAGTCAAGAGCGACTTTTGGACCCGGCTGTGAAGAGGTTTTTGAGGAGATAAGGCCCCATAAGAATTCATTGGATAATTATGTTTCCAGATCTCGTCAGACTTTGAAGCTAAGCAGGGCAGAGCCTGGTTAGTACTGTGATGGGAGGCCTCTGTAAAGTGCCAAACTGTGGTTGTGTCCTTAGGCAAGACACTTCACCCACATTAGAATGAGTCTGTTGTGTGTGTGAATGGTTGGCGGTGGTGGGAGGGGCCGAGGCCACAGACTGGTTGCCTCGCTTCTGTCAGTGTGCCCCAGGGCAGCTGTGGCTACAGTAGTAGTTTATCACCAGTGTATGAAGTGAATGAATAATGACATGTGAAGCGTCTTTGAGCGTCCAAAAAAGCGCTGTACAAACACTATTATTATTATTATTTTCTCTGCTAGTTAGGCCCAGGTTTAGGCTGTTTCCAGGACAAAGCCAGTGGATGATGAGGTGATGTTTGTGGCCAATGTTTTGGCATCGCTTAGAGCACCTTTAAAGGAATGAGAACATTTAAATACACATATTACAGGCAACATGAAGAATATGACGATAACATGTGTGTGTTTTGGACAGCTGCGTCTCAGTCGCCGTCATCGACCGCTTCTGAGGAAGTCGATCTGAATGTGTCCATGTTCGACGGCAAAGGAAGCCGACGGAAAAGACGGCGTCGAGCCAACTGTGAGGCCAAAGAGGTAAAAGTGTGGGGTCCATCTGAGTGTTGTACTTCAGCACTACATGTGGCTTTACAGTCACTGACAGCACTTTGTATTCCACCTGCAGTTGATTGAAAGAATCCTGAGGTCGAAGCCCGGAGGTGAACGTGTGGTGCAAGAATATGTCAAAACCAAGACTCTGAAAGACGGCACCAGGAGACAGATGGTGAAGATCCTGGCCGCTGAGATGACACAGACACACGGGTAAGATCTGTACATCACTGTTACATTACGTTATTATTATTATCATTATAGGAAGATTCAGTTTATTTGCCATCACCAGTAAAACCACATTAGAAGTTGTTAATTTCATAAATGGTGTGATGTGCCAGGACAGCGCCCCCCAAGAGGGTCCGAGTGACGTACGCTCAGGGGATCGTGGCTTTGTTCCCGAATCTCCAAGACCCACACTCAGAACATGGATATGTGAGTTATGATGCAATAAACAATCTCATGTTAATGTTAAAAGAACTTCTTCTGTAGATAATGTGTTTGTGGTCACACAGGAGCATTTCTATGACCCAGACAGTGGGTCGGGGTACCTGGCGTGGCGACTGAAGACTATTCAGAGGAAAACATCAGAGGAGAGAGCTGCCTCAGTCTGCAAACCTCGTAAAGGTAGGTTTACTGATCACCGTAGCACACTGAGGATCTCCTGCCAGGTTGTTTCAATGTGTGTCTGGGCAAGCTCAGACGAGCTCGTAATGCTGACATCTAGTGGAAAAATGTTACCATTGCAGCTTCGAATACTTGAGAAACCACTGCACCACTTTTAATAATAACGACAATTTCACCAAGAAACATAAACGTCTTGTTCAGTGGAAAAAGATAAAAGATGATCCCAAATCAGTTTTCCACTCGCAGATGTCTCAAAGTCGCCAACACTACACTACACACTGTGTCCTCACTACACAACACACTGTGTCCTCACTACACAACACACTGTGTCCTCACTACACAACACACTGTGTCCTCACTACACAACACACTGTGTCCTCACTACACAACACACTGTATCCTCACTACACAACACACTGTGTCCTCACTACACAACACACTGTGTATTTGACACTGACTAGGGATGTAAATCGGCGACCGTTTAACCGGTGGTTGACCGTCACAGCGTTAACCGGTCAAAGCTGTCGGTTAAAAAAGAGAAAAAGGGGAGAGGGGAGGTCTCTTAATAACGCTATTTTAAGCCCTATTTGCACGGTGTGACGAGCGGGTCTGTATCTAGCTGTGTGCGCCCATGTATTATAAACTCCGGGACGACTCTCACGCCGCACGAGCCACATATGCACACACACTTTCCCCCTCTCCATACGTAACATCCACACGCATCATCTCTCCCCTCTGTTACCGTCAAAGTTGCACACTGGCGCGGGTCAGAACTACATTGGAGCTTACATTTACACACACACACACATATACACACACACACACACACATATACATACACACACACACACACACATATACATACACACATACATACACACACACACACACACACACACATACCGGTCTGTCGCGCTCCTCTGTGTCACGGAGCCCAAAGGATTCGCGCAAATACGCGGCTCCAGTCAAACCACATGGACCATGTTTGTGTTTATGGTCCTCGGGATCAGCTCCACACACATCACTTGTATTTAAACTTTTGTGAAGACCTGTGAGACGCGGCTCGTCACTCGCTGCTCTGACCATGTGGACGAGCCGTCGTTTGCTGCTAGAAAGTTTTGGTATTAACCTGCAGCACAGCAGAATGGGAAGATTAAAAAAGCAGTTCTCTGTGCGCAAAGGTGCCGGAGCTGTTACGGGTTTTGGTGCCGCTGTCTCGGCTCTGATCCAGTAGAACGCAGAGCTGCACTTATGAAAAGTACGCGGCTCGAAATGGCTGTTATTTCAAAGAACGTGGACTATTTTAAACTACGTGGTTAACCGGTTTCAACCGGTTAATGAGGCTCGGTGGTCGGTCATGAAAATTCATAGTTTTTTACATCCCTAACACTGACACAGTTGATGTTTGACACTGACACAGTTGATGTTTGACACTGACACAGTGGGTGGTCCGGGTCGGGGTCGTCAGCCCTTCTCCTGTGGCGCTGATCCGTCTGATGAGGACGTGGAAGCCGCTGTAGCTGTTCTGAGACACTCTGCTGATGAAGACGATGTCCGTGAGAAGATGAAGATCACCCTCATCTATCGACAAGCGATGGTCAACAGTGGAGCCAAGTCCTCAGAGGTCTTCATGGTCTTTCCACGGTTTCTGGACACACCAGGACTGGTACGAGTTCTCTGCCTCAACAAAACATCCGACGTTGACTTCTCTAATCACTCAGAGATAAACGACACTTTAGTGATCGCAGGAGAACTGCAGGTTCCAGAAGCCGAAGTACAAAACCAAACACATAAATACATCTAAAAGATGCAGCAGCAGCAGAGATGGTGCAGAGGGGGTGCAGAGGTGGTGCAGAGGTGATGCAGAGGTGGTGTGGTGCAGAGGTGTGGTGCAGAGGTGGTGTGGTGCAGAGGTGGTGCAGAGGTGGTGTGGTGCGGAGGTGGTGTGGTGCAGAGGTGGTGCAGAGGTGGTGCGGAGGTGGTGTGGTGCAGAGGTGGTGCAGAGGTGGTGCGGAGGTGGTGTGGTGCAGAGGTGGTGCGGAGGTGGTGCAGAGGTGGTGTGGTGCAGAGGTGGTGCGGAGGTGGTGTGGTGCAGAGGTGGTGCAGAGGTGGTGCAGAGGTGGTGCAGAGGTGGTGCGGAGGTGGTGTGGTGCAGAGGTGGTGCAGAGGTGGTGCAGAGGTGGTGCGGAGGTGGTGTGGTGCAGAGGTGGTGCGGAGGTGGTGTGGTGCAGAGGTGGTGCAGAGGTGGTGCGGAGGTGGTGTGGTGCAGAGGTGGTGCAGAGGTGGTGCGGAGGTGGTGTGAGTGCAGAGGTGGTGCGGAGGTGGTGCAGAGGTGGTGCAGAGGTGGTGCGGAGGTGGTGCAGAGGTGGTGCAGAGGTGGTGCGGAGGTGGTGTGGTGCAGAGGTGGTGCAGAGGTGGTGCAGAGGTGGTGCGGAGGTGGTGTGGTGCAGAGGTGGTGCAGAGGTGGTGTGGTGCAGAGGTGGTGCAGAGGTGGTGCGGAGGTGGTGTGGTGCAGAGGTGGTGCAGAGGTGGTGCGGAGGTGGTGTGGTGCAGAGGTGGTGCAGAGGTGGTGCGGAGGTGGTGTGGTGCAGAGGTGGTGCAGAGGTGGTGCAGAGGTGGTGCGGAGGTGGTGTGGTGCAGAGGTGGTGCAGAGGTGGTGCAGAGGTGGTGCGGAGGTGGTGTGGTGCAGAGGTGGTGCAGAGGTGGTGCGGAGGTGGTGTGGTGCAGAGGTGGTGCAGAGGTGGTGCGGAGGTGGTGTGGTGCAGAGGTGGTGCAGAGGTGGTGCAGAGGTGGTGCGGAGGTGGTGTGGTGCAGAGGTGGTGCAGAGGTGGTGCAGAGGTGGTGCGGAGGTGGTGTGGTGCAGAGGTGGTGCGGCCACTGCTGATCCGCTGCTTCCTATCCTCTGGTTGATGTTTTTTTTTATCTTTTTATTTGATAAATTTGAGGGGCAATGCACATTAATAAACATCAGTATAAAAGTACTAAGTCATATTTATCTATATAGCGCCGTTCACAGACCTTTGTCTCTCGCACACAGAGATGGGAGCGGGGCCAGTACAGGAGGAACATGCCAGAACTATTGTTCATGTTTTTAGTGGTAGGGGAAACCGGAGCACCTGTAGGAAACTTACGCATACTCGGGGAGAACATGCAAACTCCACTCAGAAAGGCCCTGTTCCGATCAGGATTTGAACCCAGGACCTACTTGCTGAGAAACGAGAGTGCTATCCGGATTATAGCAACCAAGCTATTCTTCATCTGCAGTCCCTAAAGGCAGGAGATAACAAAGTAACACGATACAACACAGACAGCACAGGGACTAGTTGAGAGTCTAGTGGTCACATGATTTATTTTCAGCCATTGTTGATGTTTAAAGGTGACCAGTGTAGGACTCTCCTGTAAGTGCAGAGGGAGACTGTTCCAGACGTTCATGGCCCTCACAGAGAGAGGGTTCTGTCCAAAGGCAGTTCTTCTGAAGGGGCCCTCACATGTTTGCAGAGTCCGCTTGGTTTGAACCGTTCTCACTGCTCTGGTTCAGAGTGATATGAAAAAAATAAAGAAATGCATTCCTCCTGAGTTTATGCTTGATCTGCCTGGTTGGGACCATCCTCTCTGCTCTGGTCTGTACTGCAGCAACATTTCAGTGTTGCACCACAGGTTATAGAACAGTAGGAAAGAGGAGCAAGTATAAAATCTCTATCTTGAAAATAATATTAATAACAAAGAAAACAAGTTTAAAAGTTTTACACACACCTGTCTGTGTTTGATTGCAGATTGAACAAGATTTCAGACTTCTGTTTGGTGAAGCCACAGCCAACAAATTCTTGGCGAAGTGGCCGACCACGTTCAAAGCGAAAGTCATAAAGGAAAGCCACGGACTCGCACTCACCGCAGGACTCTCAGATCTGATGCGGAACGCTGAGGCCGGGCCTGAAGATGAGAATGGTGTGAATAGAACTTTAACTTTTCTCTGCTGCTTCTGTAGGTGCACAGTACAGTACTGTGGTGATGACAGCGGTCAGTTTGAATGCTGTGGTCTTTGTCTGCTCTTGTCCAGGCTGGGACAGTGACATGTCGGCCATCTTGCTGCTGCTACATTTGCTGCCACCGTCTGCACAGGGGAGAAAGAGGCCAGGGAAGATGTCGGCGTGTCGAGCTGTAGATCACCTCATCAGGTTTCAGAAGGTTTGCTCGATAGTTTAATAAAAACAAGTTAATTTTGTTTTATGCTTAAGGTTAGGAGGTTTCTTTTAATAAGACAAAAAATGTAAAGAAGCTCGTTCTGCTTAATTACCACATGACTAAGATAGACTTCCAACTTCGACAGAGGAGACAAGTGATTGTGTAACATGTCTCTGATCAGACCACGCCCTCTCAGATTGACCACACCCCTTCAGATTGACCACACCCACTCAGACTGTCCATCCCCCTTCAGATTGACTACGCCCCTTCAGACTGGCCACGCCCCTTCAGACTGACCACGCCCCCTCAGACTGACTACGCCCCTTCAGACTGGCCACGCCCCTTCAGACTGACTACGCCCCCTCAGACTGACTACGCCCCCTCAGACTGACCACGCCCCGTCAGACTGACCACGCCCCTTCAGACTGGCCACGCCCCTTCATACTGACCACGCCCCCTCAGACTGACTACGCCCCCTCAGAAAGGCCACGCCCCCTCAGACTGGCAACGCCCAGTGAGTCCCAAGTGTGAGCCAAGGTGAAGGCCCCCTCGGCTCTGTTGATGGTCCGTGTTTCCGCTTCCTAAATTTAAATAACCTCTCGTCTCCATCTTTTGTATTTACGTTCTTCCGTTCCTACTATTTCTGCCTTGTCCCAGTCAATTATGTCATTCATTATGTCATTGTGGAAGCACTTGGAAAACAAAACATCAATGCAGCAAGCACACAGAAACCTCACACAAGTCCTCATTCACCCAAAAGACGAGATGCAACCGGAGAAAAAGTGCAATGTCATAGGAAATACCATGCACAGGACCTGCAATGAAACGTACACCAGAGAAACAGCAGCGCGACTAACGAGATCTGACTCTGCAGAAGAGAGAGAATTACATATTAGTCTCATTAAAACAACCATCGAAGCTTTACACCTGACAGTCGTTTAAAATGTATCTTCCACCACATGAATCTTCTGTTTAATGTGTTTTGTAGGTTGGAACCAGTGTGCATCCAGACATCACCCAGACCCAGCCCTTCCTCCGGGCCCAGGGATCCACCCAGACCCAGCCCTACCTCCGGGCCCAGGGATCCCCCCAGACTCAGCCCTACCTCCTGGCCCAGGGATCCACCCAGACCCAGCCCTACCTCCTGGCCCAGGGATCCACCCAGAGCCGCATTCAGTCCTACTCCATCGTGGTGGACCAGCAGATGCTTCCGTGCCAGGCCACTAGTTCAGTTGCGGCTTTTGACGAACTGTTCAAGGCCCACTTTGTCTTTGGATCGTCGTACAGTTCTTCCTTGAGCAGCTTTTTCACTTTTGTGCAAACGACCATCTATAACATCGACGTGGGGGAAACCAAGGAGACGCCGCGGGTTGCAGAGCTGCGAGCCAGAATAGTGCGTTAGCAGAGACAAAACTATGGAGTCCAAACAAGCACTTTGTCAAGCACTTTACGATCAGTCATGGGCTGTGTACCGGACTCTTTGTGGTCGAGAAGGATGCTCACAGTCTTCTGGGTTTCAACTTAAAGGTATTGAGGAGGATTCTCTTCTTCCTGGTGGATCATCGAGACCAGGGTTGTCAAACAGGTCCTCAAAAGGCCGGTGTCGCTGCAGGTTTTCGTTCCAACTTAAGCAGGAGCAAACCAGACAACGTGCAATGTGAAATCACGAACATTGAAATGCTTTGTACTTATTTATTTTTACCATAAATGTTGGTTCTGTCCTTGTGTTTGTTTTTATTTGATTTAGTTTCAGTAATGCCATGATTTACATTTAAAAAATATTAGAGAAACAAACAGTTACTATGACTGTGTGTATAAGTGCGACTAAACTACAGTCCAACAGTTTTACACATTTCATTGTGATTTTTACACTACATTGAGTAGAATTAACTTGACTTTCTCTTTGACCTTTGCTTCACAGCGATGGGGAAATGTGAGGTATTTATGCCATCACTAGCGGTGAGATGTTTGAGCCACAGTTCAATATTATTATGATACAGAATTCCGTGATATAGTGTGATTCTTCTTCGTCATAATAGTAATAGTGGGGTTAAGTGAAAGACACTTAACCCCACTTTGCCTGTAGCCCCCGCTGAAAAACCAAGGCTATGCCATAGAGCAGCCGTCCTCCTGTGGACTCCCACCTGCAGGAGGATCAGTGAGGGGCTGGTGCTCTGTGGACTGGGTGGTTATAGATCCATGCTGGCCACCCCCCAACCCAGAAATGGATTAAGGGGAAGAAAATGAATGGATGACATTCAGAGATTTTACAAACATGAAGGAATAATTTACTCATTCATTATGGTCTGTCACAAGAAGACATACACGAGGAACCGAAGTGAAAGAGAAAATTATTTAATCAATTATTGCAATACTTATTCTAATGTAATGCCTGTAAAACATCAAAATCGATATTTCCTCCACTGTCACTGATCATCTTTCTTGTTTCAGGTGGAGCACAGAGCCACGTTTCCACCCAGAGACTCAGGGAGACCGTTCTGACGAGGACAGTAAGACTCCGGTCGTCGTCTTGTTTCAGGACTCGGACCTAAACCCAGCTCCAAACTCACGTCTGTGCTCCGTGTCTCAGTCCAGAAGAACCAGAAAAACTAAAAAGACTCAGCGCTGCTCTGTCTGTAACAAGATACTGAGAGCTGGAAAGACGGAACTAGTAAGACACCTGAGGATCCACACGGGAGAGAGACCTTACAGCTGCTCAGTCTGTTCAAAAACCTTCAAGAGGCAACATCATCTCAGTTATCACAAACGAGTGCACACAGAGGACCGCTTTCACAGGAAATTAGACAAGCACAAAAAAAAAGTAATTTCCTCACATTAGTCTGAGCGATTAAGTGACGACACAGGAACACTAACGTACCACGGCCCACTGGTTGGAAAACACTGGTTTGAATAATGGAAGATGAAGTCCAGAAGGGTTTGTCCTCCAACTACAAGTCTGCACCAGAGACCAGAGCCGCCGTAGACCATGGAGACCAGTCCAGAACAGCTGCAGGAGCTAAAGAGAAGATACAGTGTAATATGTTATAAATACACATCGAGAACTCACATAAAGGAGAGACCTTACAGCTGTTCATGAGGAAGCCTCGTCTCAAAGATCACAAAGGATTTCAGGTGAAAGACCTTACAGCTGCTCCCTCTGTAATAAAGCTTTTACCCGGAAGTTGATGAATCAGAGGTGGAAATTGTCAAAAATGTTACGATTTTGAAAGTATTGCGATATTTGGGACACATTTCAATATTATTGCGATATTTACATATTTTGATGCATAAAGTTTTGTGATTTATCGTGATTCATTTTCTTTATATTATTCAGAGACTTTACAAACAAGAAGGAAAATAAGACCTTTATTTTGGTCTACAAAGTCACAACAAGCAGACGTCATAGAGCAGGGGTGGCCAACCCGCGGCTCGTGAGCCGCATGCGGCTCTTTGGCTGGTTCCGTGCGGCTCTCGGGCTTTCACTCGACAAGCGTCAAAAACGCCTCGGTGGTGGCGCTGCCTTTCATTCCATATGTAGTTCTGACCAATAGTAAAGGCCGACTTCACTCCACTAGCCAGGCCACCAAAACAATCTGACGTCGGCGAACGTCAATTCTGGTTGGTCAGATGCGCTGTCAATCACTCTGCAGCTGCTACCTCAGCTGTAGCAAATATCATAACAAACAACACGTTGCCTCGAACCATGACGTCCGTACGGAAAACAATTCCTTGGTCGCTGGATGAGGGAAACACCTTCCTCAGTTTGAGGTTGCCTGGCCTGCCAAACGATATGCTTTTTCAAAGACATATAGTCTGGGAACGAGCTTGATCTCAGCGAATTCCCGGTGGGCGTGGTTGACAGACTGCATCAACCAATTAGATGCACACAGGATATGACGCAGCAACTAGCGGCACCCAAGCCGTTTCAGTAAACACAAAACAAGGGATGGCGGCATGTCAGCTAGTGCAAATGTAAACGACTGCTGTCGATTTTGTAACAAAAACTTAAAGATACGAGGAGTTATTAGCAACTCAAAGGTGAAAGGAAGTCCCGCCTCTCGGTGCGTGATTGGACCGATGTGGGTAAAATCGTGAAATGATAGGCTAGGAAGAGGTGTCCAGACGGTTCTTCTTTTGAACAGAAAGGAGGCGTGTCTGGCAGGCCAGGCAAAGTTTGAGGAGAGGACACCAGCCTGATCTCGCTGGTTCCACCAGAAACCAGAAGGTGTTTGTGGAGCTAGCACTAAGGACGGAGCAGAATGATTCCCACAAACATGACAATGCAGAGAAAAGTTAAAAAGCTTAAAAGTGACAACCGTGAAATGAAAGATCGCAGCAGCAGAAGTAGAGGCAGACCCGAAAAGTCTGGAGGTGGTTTGACCAAATGGATTACATTTACGGACATCGGCTAACACCGGCTAACATGCTAAAACCAGCTAACACCAGCTAGCATTACACCAGGAGATATAAGCCAACTCTGCCTGGTGAGTGTCTGTCTTCAATCAAATGCAAAAGTATCTGGTCTTATACTGAGCATGTGTCTGTGGTTCTAAATCAGCTAAAGTGGTGTTGGTGTTATGTGTCAAATCTATATCTTTTACTAAAGACAGTTGTGTTTCTGCTGAACACTGGGTTGAAACTTGATTTTTTTTTCTTGGTTAGAGATTGAAAGCATTCATTTCGGAATCATAATTGATGTTCGCTGACGTGAAATTGTTCTGGTATCGACTCGCCCGGTTAGAACCAGGGCCAAACCATTAATAAAAAGTACCGGGGAGCGGTTGAAGCGAGCGGTAGAAGCGCCTGCAAACCGGGGAGAGTCGAGTCCAGCCCTTTAGTGCTGTACGAGTCAATTTCTGTCATTATCATGTTGATGACATTTACAATAAATCTGTCTGAGCAGAGCACACCTCTCTGCTCAGACAGATTGCATGTGTGTGCGCGTGTCTGCTCGTGTGCGTACAGTACGTGCGCGTGTGCGTGCGTGTGTAAGGGTTGGGGTGATGTTTATGTAGTGCACATTTGTATGATGTGGCTCTTTGCTGTAACACAGTAAAAAAAATTGGCTCTTAGTCTCTGACTGGTTGGCCACCCCTGTCATAGAGTCACAACAAGCAGACGTCATAGTGTCACAACAAGCAGACATCATAGTCACAACAAGCAGACGTCATAGTCACAACAAGCAGACGTCATAGAGTCACAACAAGCAGACGTCATAGAGTCACAACAAGCAGACGTCAGAGTCACAACAAGCAGACGTCAGAGTCACAACAAGCAGACATCATAGTCACAACAAGCAGACATCATAGAGTCACACAAACCTCAGATGAAAATAGAGAAAACTCAAACACAAAAGTGCTGCTGGGTGCTCCGTTAGAGATAGGAGCTCAGCCACACAGTAGGAGCTCGGAGTAGAGCCGCTGCTTCTCCATCTGGAGAGGAACCAGTGGAGGTGGCTCAGGCATCTGTTTGGGATGCCTCCTGGACTTCTCCCTGGGGAGGTGTTACAGGCATGTTCCACCTGGAGGAGACCAGGGGAAGACCAGGAAAAGACCAGAAGGAGACCAGGGGAAAACCAGGAGGAGACCAGGGGAAGATCAGAGGAAGACCAGAAGGAGACCAGGGGAACACCAAGGAAAGACCTAGGACACAGAGGGTCTGGGAACGCCTCAGGATTCCCCCAGATGAGCTGGAGGAGGTGTCTGTGGAGGGGGAAGTCTAGACTGCTGCCACTGTGACCTGGCAACAGATAAAGCAGAAGAAAAAGTATGGATGGACTTGTTGCCTTGTGTATGAACTGTGCTATACAATTAAACATACCTGGCCTGGCCTCCACCACAAAAACACTCTTGTTGATCTATAAATATAAGGTTATGTTTCACAGCTGTACAGACAAACCTGTCCATAAACTGGCGGCTTTCTCCTCTTTTAATAAATACAAAACTAGTGATTTTTGCTGCATTCAAATTCATAAAAAATCCTCCTTCCTTCTTCCTTGTGTTGAACTTCTATGAGTGGCTCCGGATGTGGTTAAGTCACATTGGAAACCTATGTAAGACCTTTTAAATGTCACTTTGTCAAAAATGCAAAGTTTCCAAGATCAGAGGAAACGAGACGGAGAGAAACCAGGACCCTCCGTGAGTGATTTCAGATGCAGCCATAGGGTAAAAACCAGAGGGGCGTGGCTTTCGCGTAACTTTCGCTTTGGTTGGAAAGAAGTGACGCAGTTTCTACCGTCCTCAGATAGAACAAGTAAGATTTTATACAACTTTAAGCTTTACACGTGTATCTGCTAAGTATCTGTAGTATCAGAAAGATGCTCTTATGCTAAAAGCTACTACTGCTAAACTGAATTCACGTTTTTACTTTCACTTTCATATTTGAATGGGAGGCAGGACTTTTGGTTTAGTCTTCTACGATCAGAGTGATCAAAAATTTGAGAGAAAACTATTTGAAAAACGTCAGAAATGAACTCCGATTTTGAAGTTATTCGCCCCACAGTGGGGAAATGTCAGTGTTGCATCACAAGTTACAGAACAGTAAGAATGAGGAGCATACAGCACAAGAGAAGGGAATATTAAGTACAGCACGACTCTACTTGAAAAAATTAAATCAAATGTCTATAGCTTAATAAAGAAGAAATGTATAAAACCCTGCTTGTACGTGTAGATCTGTAGATGCATCTGTGTCACACTCAGAAGCAAGAATATTGAGGTAATAAATCATTAGCTCTGAAGGTTCAAATGTTCACAGTGATGAGAGAAAGACACCAGACACGTGTTTCCAGGAGCGGCCGCTAGAGGGAGACATTTAGTCGAGATCTGTCTCCGAGCGGCCGAGGCTTTTGGTTGAATCCACAGACACTGAACTGATTTAGTTTTAAAAAATCTATCAGAAAAGAATCAAATCCAACTAATGTGAAATAAATCAAAATAGCTTCATAATGTTTAGAAAATGTGTAATAAAATAAACCCACTTTTATACTTACGGCCCCCAACCAGAATGACTTTGACCCATGGATCTATAATAATAACTGGATAGGGTATTACTAGCTTATAGCTGTCCCACCCACGGCCACAGGGGGCGCCGTGGTACTGCAGACTAACTTCACGTTACCCGGAAAAAAGCCCCATAGAACTCAATGTAAACTAAAACAGCTCGACCTCAGCTGACAGAGAACCTGACAGAGAACCTACAGCTTTCTTAAAGGAGGATTTTAGGGAACTCTGCTCGTTTGGCTCCTGCTCTAACTCTGCTGTAGGTTCTCTGTCAGGTTCTCAGTCAGCTGAAGTCGAGCTGTTTTAGTTTACATTGAGTTTTATAGGACATGTTTCTGGCCTGGGAAAAGTGAATTTAGTCTGCAGTACCACGGGCGCCCCCTGTGGCCATTGGTGGGACAGCTGTAAGCTAGTAATACTCTGTCCAGTTATTATTATAGATCCAAGGCAGAACTGGAGCCATGACTAAATAAGGACGAGTTCCGCTAATATTTCGGTCCCCATGTGGGTTGGTCGGCACTAGATCATACAAGGAATCTGAAGTAACAATCCTACTTTCAAATTAGTTTTAGACTAATACAGTGCCTTGCGAAAGTATTCGGCCCCCTGAACCTTTCAACATTTCGCCACATTTCAGGCTTCAAACATAAAGATATAAAAATTTAATTTTTTGTCAAGAATCAACAACAAGTGGGACACAATCGTGAAGTGGAACGAAATGTATTGGATAATTTAAACTTTTTTAACAAATAAAAAACTGAAAAGTGGGGCGTGCAATATTATTCGGCCCCCTTGCGCTAATACTTTGTAGCGCCACCTTTTGCTGCAATTACAGCTGCAAGTCGCTTGGGGTATGTCTCTATTAGTTTTGCACATCGAGAGACTGGCATTCTTGCCCATTCTTCCTTGCAAAACAGCTCGAGCTCAGTGAGGTTGGATGGAGAGCGTTTGTGAACAGCAGTCTTCAGCTCTTTCCACAGATTCTCGATTGGATTCAGGTCTCGACTTTGACTTGGCCATTCTAACACCTGGATACGTCTATTTGTGAACCATTCCATTGTAGATTTGGCTTTATGTTTTGGATCATTGTCCTGTTGGAAGATGAATCTCCGTCTCAGTCTCAGGTCTTTTGCAGACTCCAACAGGTTTTCTTCCAGAATGGTCCTGTATTTGGCTCCATCCATCTTCCCATCAATTTTAGCCATCTTCCCTGTCCCTGCTGAAGAAAAGCAGGCCCAAAGCATGATGCTGCCACCACCATGTTTGACAGTGGGGATGGTGTGTTCAGGGTGATGAGCTGTGTTGCTTTTACGCCAAACATATCGTTTTGCATTGTGGCCAAAAAGTTTGATTTTGGTTTCATCTGACCAGAGCACCTTCTTCCACATGTTTGGTGTGTCTCCCAGGTGGCTTGTGGCAAACTTTAAACGAGACTTTTTATGGATATCTTTGAGAAATGCCTTTCTTCTTGCCACTCTTCCATAAAGGCCAGATTTGTGCAGTGCACGACTGATTGTTGTCCTATGGACAGACTCTCCCACCTCAGCTGTAGTTATCTGCAGTTCAACCAGAGTGATCATGGGCCTCTTGGCTGCATCTCTGATCAGTCTTCTCCTTGTTTGAGATGAAAGTTTGGAGGGACGGCCGGGTCTTGGTAGATTTGCAGTGGTCTGATTCTCCTTACATTTCAATATAACTGCTTGCACAGTGGTCCTTGAGATGTTTAAAGCTTGGGAAATCTTTTTGTATCCAAATCCGGCTTTAAACTTCTCCACAACAGTATCTCGGACCTGCCTGGTGTGTTCCTTTGTCTTCATGGTTCTCTCTGCGCTTTAAACAGAACCCTGAGACTATCAAAGAGCAGGTGCATTTATACGGAGACTTGATTACACACAGGTGCATTCTATTTATCATCATCAGTCATTTAGGACAACATTGGATCATTCAAAGATCCTCACTGAACTTCTGGACTGAGTTTGCTGCACTGAAAGTAAAGGGGCCGAATAATATTGCACACCCCACTTTTCAGTTTTTTATTTGTTAATTTTTTTTAAATTATCCAATAAATTTGGTTCCATTTCACGATTGTGTCCCACTTGTTGTTGATTCATGACAAAAAATTAAAATTTTATATCTTTATGTTTGAAGCCTGAAATGTGGCAAAATGTTGAAAGGTTCAAGGGGGCCGAATACTTTCGCAAGGCACTGTAAGTCCTTAAGTGGTGACTGGTTAAGTTATAGGTAAGTCTGAGTAAGATGGTTATGGTTAGGGTTAAGGTGGTCTGAGTAAGATGGTTAAGGTTAGGGTTAAGGGTGGGTTGGGGTCATTCTATGGGAATGGCTGGTTAAGTTTAGGCATGAATATGTAGTTGGTTATATTTCCTTCCACTTCCGTCCCGATTCCGTATATGATCTAGTACTGGCCCATGTAGGCCCCATGGGCCGCTGAGCGCGAGCCATTGATTTGAATAGGCCGCCATCTGTGATCACGGGGGCTTGGTTTGACTCCCCTGATTTAGATTGCTTCTGTGTGTTGAAGGCGATGGGGAGTGCAGCAGATGAACTTCTGGAGCTGATCTACAAGTGGCTGGAGGCAGCGAAGGATTGCGGCTCGAACCTGCGGGGTTTGGCTGAGGAGCTGGTGTCTCTGAGGGAAGGTTGTTGTGCGGCTGAAACCGTGGGCAGCACTGTGGCGGTGGCAGGATCCGTGGTGGCTATAGGAGCGGCCTTCTTCACCGGAGGAGCCTCTCTCGCTCTGTGGGGAATGGGGGTGATGGGAGGGGTGGGAGCAGGCATCAATCTGGCCACCAAAATCACAGAGAGGTTCATGTCCAGCAACAAACTCAACAGAGTCACAGAAATCGACCAAAACTGCAGGAAGATCTCAAATGAAATGCAAGCCCTGTTCCAGCGGTTGAGGGAGGAGTGTCCGTGCAGCGACCCGGACCAGCAGGAGCAGTATGTGGTGGAGGAGATCCTGAAGGCCATCTCCCGCAGGTTTGGGTTGGGCTACTACTTCTGCACAGACCTCTCCTCTGTGGTTTATGACATCAAAGAGAATGTTCTGGTTCTGGGCGTCACCACGAGCCTGGTGTGCCCTCTGGTCGGAGAGGTCCTGGCTGCGTTCTCTTTGATCCGTGTGGTTGGCTCCAAGGGAGGAGCGGAGGTCGGCAAAGCGGTGGCCATACAAGGCGTGGCCAGGGTTGGTACAACACTCCTCCTTCATGTTATCCTCACAGAGTCCAGGCAGTAATAATGCAATAATGTCAGCATGTGCAATATGGGACCTCACGCTGCAAACATGTAGTATCACATGATGCTAACATGTGCAGCAGTATCACATGATGCTAACATGTAGTATCACATGATGCTAACATGTACAGTAGTATCACATGATGCTAACATGTACAGTAGTATCACATGATGCTAACATGTACAGTAGTGTCATATGAGTCTTTCACAGACTTATACCTGTATCTTACATACACACATATATATTTCTTGCCCCTAAGTATACAGTATTTTATACCTTGCTTGTTTATTGCCTTTAGCCCATAGTTATGTTTACTGCCCGACACACAGGAGTGTTTGTGTTTCCGCAGTTCCTGGGGGGTGTGGTGGGTCTGGCCTTTTCTCTTCCTGAAGCCATCGACAATTGGAAAGAGGCCATTAAAAGTAACCACGAGACACAAGCCAGTAAATCTCTGAATGACACAGCAGACCAGATCGACAAGGTTCGAAACAATCTGTCGGACAAACTATCTCAGATAAAGTAAGTGTTTCTCACAATGTCACATGAAATGGTTTGAGTTCATTTGAAGAGGGTTAATAGATGTGCCATTATTATCTACAAAGCAGGTTTTCAGAATTCTCGGACCTGAACCCGTATCAAGCCAAACTTTTTTAAATGATTTTTTTTCCTCCCATAACAATGTTTTAGCGTAGTACAGTATATAGTGCGGCGCTCACTGATATGAACACAGGCCCGGCTACAGGGCGGAGTTATACATGGTACTGATGTGTTGCAATGAGTTCTGTGTGTACGGAGTGAATGGCTGCAGCTGTATGATACACAGCTGTATGATACACAGCTGTATGATACACAGCTGTATGATACACAGCTGTATGAAGGTAACGCTGTCGTCAATGACAACACTACAGTGTGATAGAACTATATTCAGTGGGTGTGTTTGTAAATGTGATCTGCCGTTCTGAAAATGAATAAATAAAAGAGCCCGAGCCCGACCCGTGTCCGAGGTAATTATACGGTTATCGGCCCCCCTCGGGCCTATAGGGCTCAAGTGCAGGGCTCTAAACCCTGGGGGTGGGAGCTTTTCTTTACAAGAAAAAAGTAGCGGCCAAACAGTGTATCACAGATTTTCCATCATGTCCTCTAAAAATAAATAACACAGTTAAATAACACAACTCTGGTCTTTTCTGTAGGGAATTCATAGAAACTGCAGCAAAAAAACAACAACAACCACCCAAGAAAACGTCTTTTCCGAGTGTCAACAAAATGCAAACTAATGATAGCGAATCCTCCCTTGAATATCTGGATACATGCCAACCAAAGATGTTCAGGTCTTCCTATCGAGGAGACAGTGATTCTTCTGAGCAAAGTGATGATGATGAGGAAGATAGTAGCAGCAGCAGTTATGAAGAGGTGGTGGTGAAGATGGCTCTGCTCAATGTTCGCTCTGTCAACAAACTGCAGAGAAGGGGCGATAACACAATCACTGAGATGATACAGGACAACGATTTGGGGGTTCTCTTGCTCACCGAGACCTGGCTGCCAGAAAACCGAACCGAAAGCTTTAGAAATACCCTTCCTACGGGTTACGACGTATTCAGCAGACCGAGGAGTGATGGCCGCCAAGGTGGAGGTCTGGCTTTGGTCTTCAATTCCAATGAATACGAATGCTATCCTGACCCTTTGGACATCGACTTTGACGTCAATTTTGAATATCAAGCCGCATTATTATCTGTTCCTTGTGCTTTGGACGGCGTCCTCATCCTGAATATTTATCGCCCGCCAAAACCTTATCCCAAGTTTTTTGAAGAGCTGGAAAAGCTTTTAACAGCAGCTTTTGACCAGTACGGTGTGGTCATAATGGGAGGAGATTTCAATATTTGGGTTGATTGCCCAAAAGACAGCTTCTCGCGTAAATTTCATAAGTTCTTGCAAAAGAAACACCTGAAGCAGCACGTGCCGGAGTCCACACACAACAAAGGGCATACTCTAGACCTGGTCCTGACGCGTCCAAATGTGAAAATCACAGATGTAAAAGTGGAACCCAACAGCATTTCTGACCATCACACTGTCTTCTTCAATCTGCACTTCACATCACAAAGCGCCATAAGATCAGAGAGAAGTGTGGCTCGTCGCAAAGCAAAAGAGGAGATGAAGAAAAAGCAGAAACGCAAGTAGTAACGAGGGGAAGTAACGAGCTGCTGGTTAATGCAGAACCCATAATCACTTATATTTCTTACCGTTTACAGTGTTTAAGAATCTACATGAATGTTTATGCTTCAATAAGATTTAATATCAGATTAATTTTAATCAATTTTCAGACTTTCTTTAAGTACTGACAGTTTCATTTCACTGAGATTATGCAACAAAATTCCCTCCTAGTGGACGAAACTACAGGTGGAACTCTGAAGATGTGAATAAAAAACTTGATTGCTAACTTTCATCCCTCCCAATGCAGAACAAAGGGTCCATGCCTTTATCTCCTCCAGACTGAACTACTGTAATGTCCTCCTCGTCGGCATCATGACAAGAGCCTGCTCCAGTATATTCACATCTGTGGATTCCAGGTCCTGGCGAGGAGGTGCAAGTTCGACCACATCACCCCTGTTCTGTGCTCCCCATCCACGAGAGAATTTGTACAGATTCTGCCTCCTCACCAGTTTGACCATGGGATGATCTCACCTCACGCTGCCTCAGCTCGACCTCCACCCACTGTCTCCACCTGCCCAGGTCCAAGCTCCCCCCAGAGGAGACAGGGCCCAGAGACCCTGAGAGGGTGGAGGCTTTTAATCTAAATGTATTATGTTTGCACAGTTTTACAATGACAGGGTTGAAGGCATCAAAGACGTCATAACCTCCATAACACAATTAAGAATAAGCCAGCGAAGTGTTTTAAGCCAACTCACTCTGACTCTTGGACGGTTTTATCATCTACAAGTGCAATCTTCCTCCACAGGTCTGGATGCCACTGTACTTAACAACTATCGTCCCATCTCAAATCTGCCATTTATGGGGAAAGTCCTTGAAAAAGTTGTCTACCTACAGCTTACTAGATTTCTTATAATCAGCAACTCATTTGATATGTTTCAGTCCGGCTTTAGACCCCACCACAGCACTGAGACTGCTCTCGTTAAGGTTACAAACGATATCCGGCTGAACACTGACGCTCTACAGAGACCAGAGGACTTGGTGGTCCTCACAGAGACTAGAGGACTGGGTGGTCCTCACAGAAACTAGAGGACTGGGTGGTCCTCACAGAGACCAGAGGACTGGGTGGTCCTCACAGAGACTAGAGGACTGGGTGGTCCTCACAGAGACCAGAGGACTGGGTGGTCCTCACAGAGACCAGAGGACTGGGTGGTCCTCACAGAGACTAGAGGACTGAGTGGTCTCTACAGAGACCAGAGGACTGGGTGGTCTCTACAGAGACCAGAGGACTGGGTTAGTGTCGCTGGCACTGCCCTAAGTTGGTTTAGGTCTTACCTTGAAGACAGGAAGTACTTTGTGGAGTAACTGTGTCTCAGATCCTTTGGCCCTGACCGGTGGAGGACCACAGGGGTCGATCCTGTTTCGCTGCAACAACTGAAGGATTTTCTCTTTTTAATTTACTGTGATTATTCAAACTAACAGTATTTGTGGTCATACATTTCAACTGTTATGATTTAGATGTTCATTCTAATAAACATGTGATTTCAAATACATGTTTCTATATTATTTATTCTGCTTCTGAAATCTCAGACTGGGCTCTCACATGACCATGAGACAGGACCACAGCAGACCGACAGCCCCATTGTAAAACTGTTCAGACTGGATTCAGGGATCTGGTATTTATAATTAACTGTAATGGAACGTGGAAGTTGGCTGAATGACATAAAGCCTATAAACTACTACTTTAGCCACAGCTGCCCTGGGGCACACCGACAGAAGGAAGGCAACCAGTCTGTGCCATCAGCCCCTCCCACCACCACCAACCATCCACACACATCAGACTCATTCTAATGTGGGGGAAGTGTCTTGCCTAAGGACACAGTCACAATTTGGCACTTTACAGCCGCCCCACTGGGGCACCTGCTGTTCCCAGAGGTCTCCCATCTCAATACTAACCAGGCCCTGCCCTACACAGCTTCAGAGGTCTGACAGGATCTGGCTTTCACCTGCAGGCGGTGGGGGTTCATTGTCACCTTTGTGCTATTCTTGGACGGTCTCAGTCTGAAAAGTTTGGACACCCCAGCTTTGTTTCTCTTCCGGACTGATCCACCCTCGCTGTGTGAAGGAGGTTCCACAGGTCTTTCCTTCCTGCTGCTGTCAGACTGTACAACAAACACGACCTGACCTCAATAAAACAATGTCAGAATGTGTAAATACAGAACCACATGAGTCACTGTCTCTGTCTCCGAGCCTCGTGCTGCTAACATGCTAACATGCTAACACGCTAACATGCTAATACGCACAGATGTAAACATACAACGGTATTTTTCTGCACTATACAGGATCATAGACTCACTTCTTTACTATGATAAAGTTAGAGATTGTGTGGTAGTTATTGATGATCCTCAGTCCTACTGTTCTGTAACTGCTGCTGCAACACTGACATTTCCTCACTCACGGAGACAGGCGCTCTTCATCTCGCACTGTGTCGCCCTCTTGTGGCCGTAAGTGGGACACGGGTTCTACATTAGTAATTCCTCCTTATACTTTTCACAGAGTCACAAAGCACTTTTAAATCTCTTCTTTAACCCCACGTTTATCAGACAGATTTTAACTGTTAAGTTGTATTTTACTGTCTGCTTTGGTTTTGTCCTTCTCCTTGTGTTTGCTCTGCTTTGTTTTCCTACATCCATTCCATCTTATCATTTTGACTTTATTATTATGACTGTTTTATTGTTTATTTTGCTGACCGTGCAACACTTTGAAAACACATACAGAACATACAGATTTATTATTATTATTATTATTACTAATTTACACTTATGGGCGTTTGTCCTTAACTTCGCACATTTTTATATATATGTATAATTTTTTAACATGTTTTAGTGGTAGGGTAAACTAGAGCACGGGGAGAACATGCAAACTCCTCACAGAAAGAACGGGAGACAGGATCAAACCGAGAAACCCTCTCTCTGTGAGGTACAAGCGCTAACCACTGCGCCACTGTGCCACCCTGGACAGATGGTTTAGATCTTGCACTATGTCGCCCTCTTGTGGCCGTAAACACTTTAATCTCATTACGTGGGACCCTCCTCCTCTTCCACCTCCTCCTCCTCCTCCTCTTCCACCTCCTCCTCCGCCTGTTGCTTCTGCTCAGACCCGGGGTGGACTCTCTCTGCGGCGGCCGGAGGAGACGGGAGCAGCCGCGGAACACAGCAGATCTTGGCCGGGGTTTGGGGTTCTGGTCCCGGGTCCCGCTTTATGTTCTTTGCGAGATGTGGAGGAGCCGCGCGCGCTGGAGCTAAGCAGGATTTACCATGGATAAAACCCGGATGGAAGACGAGTGCGTGGACTCGGGAGCGGAGACTGCGGGGTACGTTTGTGCGCAACACATCCATGTGTCTCTGCATCGCCCTGAATCACAGCTGTAGTTATCTCGGAAAATCGATTAAGTGACGATTAACCGAGACAAGGCAAGTTTATTTGTATAGCACAGTTCATACACAAGGAACTCAAAGTGCAGAACTAAACTATAGAATAACAAGAATAATCGAAACAGAACTGTTTTAACCTGGATTTGAACATTGTCAGAGAAGAAGCCTGTCTCACATTTTCAGGAAGACTGTTCCAGGTTTTAGCATGAATCTGAAACACTGCCTCCTCATGTTTAGTCCTGACTCTGGGACCAGCAGGAGGCCAGTCCCTGGAGAGAGAGAGACCAGAGAGAGAGACCAGAGGGAGAGAGACCAGAGGGAGAGAGACCAGAGGGAGAGAGACCAGAGGGAGAGAGACCAGAGGGAGAGAGACCAGAGGGAGAGAGACCAGAGGGGGAGAGAGACCAGGGGGGGAGAGACCAGAGGGGGAGAGACCAGAGGGAGAGAGAATAGAGAGAGCAGAGAGAGAGACCAAAGACAGAGACTGTCCTCACATCCATCGACTCAGAAACTGAATGATGTATGTCGTGTGGAAAAATCAAACAAAAGCACAACAGGCCAATAGGAGGCACTAGCGCCCCCTTGTGGCGAAACTAAAAACTGTCTTGAGCTGTTCCGATGAGAATGCTAACAAACTCAGAGTCTGAGACCCGAGAACGAGCATCGCTAACACAGGGAGTTAAGCAATGTGGAAACTGCGGCCTGGGGGCTACATGCGGCCGGACTCACGGTTCTGTGCGGACACTTCCTGTTACTCTCTGTCCACCTGAGCCTCTGTCTGCCCACACAAGCTCACAGGGCCTCAATGTGAAGCGATAAACACACATTCACCTAAAGATCACACACACACACGCACAAGCACACACACAGGGTATAAACACACACACACACACACACAGGGTATAAACACACACACACACACACAGGGTATAAACACACACACACAGGGTATAAACACACACACACACACACAGGGTATAAACACACACCCACACACACAGGGTATAAACACACGATCACACACACACGCACACACACACATACACATGGTATAAACACACACACACAGGGTATAAACACACACACACAGGGTATAAACACACACCCACACACACACACACACACACAGGGTATAAACACACACACACACACAGGGTATAAACACACACACAGGGTATAAACACACACACACACACAGGGTATAAACACACACACACAGGGTATAAACACACACACACACACAGGGTATAAACACACACACACACACAGGGTATAAACACACATACACACACACACACACACAGGATATAAACACACACACAAGGTATAAACACACACACACACACACACAGGGTATAAACACACACACACACACACACACGGTATAAACACACATACACACACACACACACACAGGATATAAACACACACACAAGGTATAAACACACACACACACACACACACACACACAGGGAGACCCAATTAAGATGAGATATTGTGGCTGAGTGGTTAGCACTCTCGCTTCTCAGCAAGAAGAGACCAGAGATAGAATCCCAGTTGGAACAGAGCCTTTCTAAGTGGAGTTTGCATGTTCTCCGCGTGTCTGCGCAGGTTTCCTCCGGGAGCTCCGGTTTCCCCTACCTCTAAAAACATGTACAATAGGTGTAAGATAAGATAAACCTTTATTAGTCTCACAGCGGAGAAATGTCAGTGTCATCGCTGCACATTACAGCAGAGAAAGGAAACTAGAGCACTCAGATGGCACTTTCAAATAAGTCTATTATTTAGGATAATAGACAATAAAATTAATATAAAAATAAAATAAAATGAGATAAACTCTGGGCTATAATTGCACTTGAGGTGTGTGGAGTCTGTGTGGAGTGAGAGCCAAATGCCCATAACTGTAAACCTCTTTGTGACTCTGGTCTGTATATACACAAAGATTACTTACTTATATTTGAATATTTTTGTAAAGTCGTGATCATAATAATGCATCAGTTTTATACAGTGCTTTTCTGGACACTCAAAGACACTTTACATGTCATTCTCTCCAAACACGGTGGTGATTAACTACAACAGTAGCCACAGCTGCCCTGGGGCACACTGACAGAAGCGAGGCAACCAGTCTGTGCCATCGGCCCCTCCCACCTCCACCAACCATCCACACACACACCAGACTCATTCTAGGCAATGGGGGTGAAGTGTCTTGCCTAAGGACACAACGGCAGCAGTTTGGCACTTTACAGCCGCAGCCGCCCCACTGTGGCTGCTGTTCCCAGAGGTTAAGTGTCTTGCCCAAGGACACAACGAGAGCAGATAGTGGGAGTCGATGGTGAAGGTCGGGCTCAAACCCACGACCTTCTGGCTCAAAGGCCTATGCTCTACCAACTGAGCTACTGTCGCCCCTGATGATGGTGATGACAGCGGTCGTCTCAGAGGACAGTGCAAAGTTGTCGATTCGCCAAAAACAGATCAGAGAATGCAATAATAACACACACATAGAGAACGTGACGACCACCCTTCTGTGTCAGAGAGAGACAAGAGAGAGAGACCAGAGAGAGAGACCAGAGAGAGAGACCAGAGAGAGAGACCAGAGAGAGAGACCAGAGAGAGAGACCAGAGAGTGAGAGACCAGAGAGAGAGAGAGACCAGAGAGAGAGGGACCAGAGAGCGAGAGACCAGAGAGCAAGAGACCAGAGAGAGAGACCAGAGAGAGAGAGACCAGAGAGAGAGAGACCAGAGAGAGAGAGACCAGAGAGGGAGAGAGACCAGAGAGAGAGGGACCAGAGAGCGAGAGACCAGAGAGCAAGAGACCAGAGAGAGAGACCAGAGAGAGAGAGACCAGAGAGAGAGAGACCAGAGAGAGAGAGACCAGAGAGCGAGAGACCAGAGAGAGAGAGACCAGATAGAGAGAGACCAGATAGAGAGAGACCAGAGAGAGAGACCAGAGAGCGAGAGACCAGAGAGCGAGAGAGACCAGAGAGAGAGAGACCAGAGAGAGAGAGACCAGAGAGAGAGAGACCAGAGAGAGAGAGACCAGAGAGAGAGACCAGAGAGAGAGACCAGAGAGAGAGACCAGAGAGAGAGACCAGAGAGAGAGACCAGAGAGAGAGACCAGAGAGTGAGAGACCAGAGAGAGAGAGAGACCAGAGAGAGAGGGACCAGAGAGCGAGAGACCAGAGAGCAAGAGACCAGAGAGAGAGACCAGAGAGAGAGAGACCAGAGAGAGAGAGACCAGAGAGAGAGAGACCAGAGAGGGAGAGAGACCAGAGAGAGAGGGACCAGAGAGCGAGAGACCAGAGAGCAAGAGACCAGAGAGAGAGACCAGAGAGAGAGAGACCAGAGAGAGAGAGACCAGAGAGAGAGAGACCAGAGAGCGAGAGACCAGAGAGCGAGAGACCAGAGAGCGAGAGACCAGAGAGAGAGAGACCAGATAGAGAGAGACCAGATAGAGAGAGACCAGAGAGAGAGACCAGAGAGCGAGAGACCAGAGAGCGAGAGAGACCAGAGAGAGAGAGACCAGATAGAGAGAGACCAGATAGAGAGAGACCAGAGAGAGAGACCAGAGAGAGAGAGACCAGAGAGAGAGAGACCAGAGAGAGAGACCAGAGAGAGAGACCAGAGAGGGAGAAACCAGAGAGGGAGAGACCAGAGAGGGAGAGACCAGAGAGGGAGAGACCAGAGAGGGAGAGAGACCAGAGAGTGAGAGACCAGAGAGAGAGAGAGACCAGAGAGAGAGGGACCAGAGAGCGAGAGACCAGAGAGCGAGAGACCAGAGAGAGAGACCAGAGAGAGAGAGACCAGAGAGAGAGAGACCAGAGAGAGAGAGACCAGAGAGAGAGAGACCAGAGAGCGAGAGAGACCAGAGAGAGAGAGACCAGAGAGAGAGAGACCAGAGAGAGAGAGACCAGAGAGAGAGAGACCAGAGAGAGAGAGACCAGAGAGCGAGAGAGACCAGAGAGAGAGAGACCAGAGAGAGAGAGACCAGAGAGAGAGAGAGACCAGATAGAGAGAGACCAGAGAGAGAGACCAGAGAGAGAGAGACCAGAGAGAGAGACCAGAGAGGGAGAGAGACCAGAGAGAGAGGGACCAGAGAGCGAGAGACCAGAGAGCGAGAGACCAGAGAGCGCGAGACCAGAGCGAGAGACCAGAGAGAGAGAGACCAGAGAGAGAGAGACCAGAGAGAGAGAGACCAGAGAGAGAGAGACCAGAGAGAGAGAGACCAGAGAGAGAGAGACCAGAGAGCGAGAGAGACCAGAGAGAGAGAGACCAGAGAGAGAGAGACCAGAGAGAGAGAGACCAGAGAGAGAGACCAGAGAGAGAGAGACCAGAGAGAGAGACCAGAGAGGGAGAGAGACCAGAGAGAGAGGGACCAGAGAGAGAGAGACCAGAGAGCGAGAGACCAGAGAGCGAGAGACCAGAGCGAGAGACCAGAGAGAGAGAGACCAGAGAGAGAGAGACCAGAGAGAGAGAGACCAGAGAGAGAGAGACCAGAGAGCGAGAGAGACCAGAGAGAGAGAGACCAGAGAGAGAGAGACCAGATAGAGAGAGACCAGAGAGAGAGAGACCAGAGAGAGAGAGACCAGAGAGAGAGAGACCAGAGAGCGAGAGAGACCAGAGAGAGAGAGACCAGAGAGAGAGAGACCAGAGAGAGAGAGACCAGAGAGAGAGAGACCAGAGAGAGAGAGACCAGAGAGCGAGAGACCAGAGAGAGAGAGACCAGAGAGCGAGAGAGACCAGAGAGAGAGAGACCAGTCCCATGTACTTTATCGTTCCAAAGACTTCTGATGTGTCTGTTGTGTTCCGTGAGTTTGTGAACAGTGGATCTGTGACTTTCACCTGCAGCTGATGTCATCACAGTCATGTGTCTGTTCTGTGCCAGAACATGTGACAGAGATGTTTATCTGGCAACCGCAACAACTCCAACAACTAAAGAAGCTGTAGACCCAGGACTGTGGCTGTAG